GGGGGGGGGTTGAGGTGGGGCAGTGTTGATAATCCAGCAGTGTTTTGTTCCCCAGGGACGGCTCCGCCGTTACAGAAGAACCCTCCTCTCGTTCCCATCGACCTATGGATATTGATGATGAGAGCCTTGCTATGAGGGATGCCGAGGGGGATTTCGATCCCACCAGGGATACAACCGTAAGAGTAACGTCGCCTTCTTCATTGGTTCTCGGGTTTGGGGATGTTCTGAGGAGTTTTTGGGGGTTTTGAGATCTTTTCAGTGGGTGAAAGTCATAAATTGACATCATTTTTATGAATAGCGATTTTTATTTGAAAGGGAAGGGAAATTGGATCAACTTTAAGTACTATAATTTTTTCGCGGCTTTCTTCGTTATTTTCTATTTAAATAGAAATTATGGTCGATTGAATTTAATAAATAGGAGTTTGGCATGATCATAAATTTTGAGTAAAGTTAAATTTTGAAGAAGTCAACTGATTAATATTACTCAATAGTCAATTGACAATTCCATATTGTCAATTATTTAATTCCTAGTCAATTGAAAATTTAGATTTATTTATTTAAATTTATTTTATATCAATTATTTTATTATTTTTCAAATTTTAGTGAAGATTAGTAAACCTTAATTATTGCAAAGTGCAATTTCTCTTGATACTAATAATCTAATTATTAGTGTCAATCCCTGAAACAAAATCTAGCTCAAATAAAAAAATTGCTCAAATCATGAAAAAATTCCAAAAGTACACCTAAACATCTTTTTTGAGGTTCAACTCTATTGGAATTACAAAGTATATTTAAATTAAAAAAAAAAAAAAAAGAGATCTTAAAACACGATAAAACTCCAAAAATTCACGTGAATGTCTTCAAAAAAATGAGAAAATCTCAATTCTAAACAGTATCATTAATTTTCCAGGAGGACTTGATGAGTTCTGATTCCGATTCAGATTCAAATCCCTCGGACGACAACGAGGACGACGTTCAAGATGACGAGGACGAGGAAGAAGAGGAGGAGGAGGACGACGATGGTGAAGAGAACGAGGAAGAAGAGGAGGACGAAGAGGAAGGCTCCTCGAACTACGAGGAAGACGGTATGGACTACTATGAGGACGTTGGTGAGGGAATATTCAGAATGCTACCATCAGCAGAGAGAGACGGCAGTAATGTCGTCATGATTCAACATAATTTTGATAATCACGAGAACAATTCCACTACTCCAGCGTCAACGAGACAGAATCACCCCTGGAGTGCGAGTTTTCCCCTGCCCCTGGGATTATTCGAGGACCTTCCATCTGTGTCCGAGTCCAATGGAATTGGCTCACACCCATTGCTGATGGCCCAGGGGAGTCTCGACACTGCGAACACACGTGCACAGAGATCAATTCGCCAGAGAAGGTATCAATACCTCCACCTGGCCAACTCTAGGAACGCAAATCCCCCGGTTATTCTTCAGAGACTGTTGGTGCCAGCAGCCCAGAGTCTCCCACTGTCAGCGACACAGATGTTGGCCTCAAACTTCCGAGACACAAGGGTCGTCCTCATGGACAACAACGGCCTTGGAATATTCTCGAATCAGGAGGAGGAGCAAATCGACTTTGTGGATCAATCTGGATACCTCTTCGGTCCCAGTCTGGCAGCAACACTTAACAACATCCCCACAGCCCTCCACTGGTGGATCGAAGAAAGCAAGCAGCTGGACGGCGACTCCCAGCCGGACTGCTGTGTTGGAGTTGTCCACAAGCTCGTTCCTGGCCTCGAGAAGCACCGAAATGCCGAACTAGCCGAGAGAAAGGACAAACGAAAGAAGCAACACGCCGAAAAAGACACTGATAAAGAGACCAAAGAGAAGGAGAGCTCGAAGCCACGTGAATCAAATTCAACGAATCCCCCGGCTGTTGAGGAAGAGCAGCCATCAGGTTCTCTCCTCCAAATGGCCGCTGACGATGCTCTCGACGTGTCAAGACGTCTCGCTGACGCAGTTGAGGCAGCTGTTGAGGCAGTTCGACAAGAGCGCAATCGAGACGAGAATATAATTGAAGTAACTGGGGACATGGAGGTGACACTACCAGAGGACGAAGTCAGGACTCCATCACCACCGACTCCACCACCGCCCCCACCACCTGAGGAGAACAGACCTACTCTAGCTGATCATCATGCTACACTGGAGCTAGCTGAAAGTATTCTCGACTCTGTTCTTCATCCCAGTGCTGAAGAGGCGACAAGACTACGAAGACTGACGACCAATCGAGAGCCTGATGAAGTGAATTTAAATCGTTCGAATACCTGGTCCATTCTGAATGACTTTGCTCAATCAACACCAGAGGAAGAATCGACTCCCAGGGAGTCCAGGGATCCACACGCCTGGGTCCACAGATTGCTGGCGCTTGAGCAATCGAGAAGAGAGAATAACGCTAATGTCCCACCTCAGGACGCCTCGGCATCGTCATCATCAGCTGAGAGTGCCCCAGTAGTGACTGAGCAGCCTTCCTCGACTCAAGTCCCAGAGCCTCAGACCCAATCCCAGACAGAACAGCCACCAGCTGCTTCACAAGACCCGCAGCTTACTCAGGAGACCCCTCAGGCCCCTCAGGAGCAGCCACAGGACTCTGCTGGTCAACAAACGTCTTCATCAGACTCCCAGATCCCTGACGGAGTCGATCCCTCGTTCCTAGCTGCTCTCCCCGAAGAAATGAGGGACGAAGTCATTGCTGAACAACTCCGACTCCAGAGGATTCGTCAACGAGCCCAAGCTACTGTCGTGGAGGAAGTCACAGGCCCGGTGGAAGTCAATCCTGAGTTCCTAGCTGCATTACCCCCAGCTATTCAGGAAGAAGTCCTTGCTCAACAGAGATTGGAGCAGCAGAGGCATGCTGCGGCCTCCGCTAATCCAGCGGACCCTGTCGATGCTGCTGCCTTCTTCCAGAATCTCCAGCCTTCTCTGAGGCAGGCAATCCTGACTGACATGGAGGAGTCCCAGATGTCTGTTCTCCCCCCAGACCTCGCTGAGGAGGCGCAGAACCTCAGGCGACAGTGGGAGGCGAGAAATCGTCACATGATGCAGGAGAGATTTCTCAGCCACGTCAGCCAGGGGAACACCACGCTCTCCAGCATCCTCAGGAATTCTGGAAGGGGTCGGGGTAATCCCAGGTACGCAATCTCTGGTGTTGCTCAGCGAGCCCAGTGGAGCTCCTGGGATCAACGAGGGGACACAACTCTGAGCCATCAAAGTGCTGGACTTCGACTTCGTGGAAGACAACTGCTCGATCACGAGTCGATGGCCTGTCTCCTGGTGCTTCTGTTCGTCGATGAGCCCAAGATCAATACTCTGAGACTGCACAGGGTCATCAGGAATCTCTGCTACCACGGCAGCACGAGGGAGTGGGTGGTCAAAGCCCTCTTGAACATCATGGAACGGAGCAATGACGAGAATAAAGAGGTTCTCACTGATTTCACTGGGAAATTCAAACGAAAATCGGTTCATCCAGCTATTGACTACTGCTCTCCCAAGTTATCAGAGTCTAGGAATAATTTTCAGTCGTGGTTGAACATCAGCATTGATGCAGCTCTGGGGTGTCGTGCCAATGTCTTCCATATCGTTAGACATGGATCTAAGAAGGCTGATCGCCAGGGGAATGTCATTGCCATTCACCCACAGGCAGCACCGACAGTCTGCAGGCACACTTTGGAGCTGCTCATATCACTGGCTAAAAGCTTCCCAGGGTACTTCGTTCCAACTAAGTCCAAAGAGGAGGAGAAACTTAAGGAGAAGGAGTCCAGTGTCAAGGAGGAGAGTGGAGCCAAGAGCAAAACAACATCTAAATCGACAAAGACAGAAATGCCAGACTTTTGGGATATGCTTTTGAAGCTCGACTCGTGTGCCTCGAAGAAGGGAAAATCAGTCGCCAGAACTCATTCTAGTTCGGCCATTGGGTCTGAACCCGAGCAGAGTCTCACGTCGTTTGAATCGTCGGCCTTTGGGGGATTGATATCAATGCTCCACTGGTCTGTTGTTAAGAGGAGCTCTCAGCTGACTGACAAACTCCTTCGTCTGCTCTCACTCATCTCCATTGGACTGACTGAAGTGAATCCCTACAGGAGACAAGACGCCACTAAAAATAAAAAGGTTGAACCCAGCAAGGAGCAGAGTGTTGCTGCACCCGAGGGTCATCTGAGGCTAGCTGTTCAGGTTCTAACGAGCAAAAGCTGCTCCGAAGAGGGTCTCGAGGATGCAACTGCACTCCTGCTGAACCTCTCCCACTGTCCAGATCCTACGAGACAACTGATCCTCAAACTCCTGCTGGAAGGGGCCATGGAACTAGCCAATATGGTCTGCGAACATATCAACGAACTGATGAAAGAGCTGAAGGTACTGAATCGTGAATTGAAGAGGAGAAATTCCCTCGAGGAGCAGCCGTCAACGAGTGGTGGATCTGCTCGAGGAATTCTCATGGACAGATTTACCATGGACAATGTCATCGTCACTGCTCCAGCTAAAGTCAAAGCAGCTACTGATCTGCAATTACCATCGATGAGTGCACTCGTCAGCAAGACATCTAGTCAAGCATTTTTCTTACGCATACTCAAGGTGATTGTCCAGATCAGGGAGGCTGTCAACTTGGCGAATAAGAAGAAGAGTGAGAGTGCACAGGGGACTGGTGAGACTGCCATGGAGACTGCTAATACCTCGCAGGTGCAGGAGTCTGCTGTTGATGATAATGCCACTGCTGATAACTCAGCTATGGAGACTGCACAACCAGCGCAGGCTGAGGTACCACCGAAGGCCTCCAACTCGAAAACAGAGGAGGATAAATCGACTCTACCACTGCTGAGCGAGAGCCTGGTTCTGGATAATTTATGGGAGACCCTCAGTGCTTGTCTTCTGGAGCTGGAGCACACACCTGATCACCATGCAGTACTGGTTCTTCAGCCAGCTGTCGAGGCGTTCTTCCTGGTTCACTCGTCATCGAGCACTTCGTCCAAGGATCGCAATAACGAAACTAATAACGAGACTCGAGAGGCTGTGGCTGACATGGCGCCAGTCTCTCCGATATTCCCGGACTCTGATGGAACTTCTACGAATGAAATTTCGAATAACTCGGGGGCGTGGGACTTGGCACCAGCACCCACGAAGACGCTGCCCTCTGATCAGTTGAAGTTCTTGAAATTCGCTGAGACCCACAGGACTGTTTTGAATCAGATTCTCAGGCAGACCACGACACATCTTGCTGATGGGCCATTCAGTGTTCTCGTGGATCACACCAGGGTTCTGGACTTTGATGTCAAGAGGCGGTACTTCAGGACGGAACTGGAGAGGATGGACGAGGGCATCAGGAGGGAGGAGCTCGCTGTGCACGTCAGGAGGAGCCACGTCTTTGAGGACTCCTTCAGGGAACTGCACAGGAGAAATGCGGACGAGTGGAAGAACAGGTTTTACATCGTTTTCGAGGGCGAGGAGGGCCAGGATGCTGGGGGACTCCTCAGGGAGTGGTATGTCATCATCTCCAGGGAGATATTCAATCCCATGTATGCGTTGTTCACTGTCAGCCCTGGGGACAGGGTCACTTACATGATAAACTCCTCCTCTCACTGCAATCCCAATCATCTTTGCTACTACAAATTCGTGGGGAGGGTCATTGCCAAGGCTATTTATGATAATAAGCTGCTCGAGTGCTACTTCACCAGGAGCTTTTACAAGCACATCCTCGGGATTTTGGTGAAACACACGGACATGGAGAGCGAGGACTACAGCTTCTACAAGGGACTTGTTTATCTCACTGAGAACAATATCACGGATCTGGGGTATGAGCTCACTTTCTCGGCTGAGGTCAATGAGTTCGGGGTGAATGATGTCAGGGATTTGATTCCCAATGGGAGGAATATTGTTGTTACGGAGGAGACTAAGCTGGAGTACATCAGGCTGGTGTGTCAGATGAAGATGACTGGAGCCATTCGAAAACAGTGAGTTCAATTGTTTGGGAAATTTTTGTTGAGACCGAATTGGGGGTTTTCAAGTGCTTTGGCTATTTTTTCTCCAGTGAAATGATTTTCTAGTTTTGCAGTTGAACGTCAGGGCTTCCATTTCAGCCCCGTTTGACCCCAAGTTTCCGGATATTTTAAAATGATTTTATTATTCAAAATTTACAGGTCTGGATTTGAATCTCGATATTAAACCGGTAGAAAAATTAATGAAATGATTTAAAAATCGCAATTGTTGAAAATTACGAGCATTTACGATAAATAATTAATAAACAATCAATTTTACACCGTAAAAATTAGTTGTTTGGAATCGTAACAAATTTATTCGTATTCAGAATTTTACCAAAAATTTCACACCTAAAAAAATAAAGTTTCCGAAAGTTTAAACATTTTCAATTATTTATTTATAAACAATGAATGGTTAAAAAAATTACAATTCTGGGCAGAATGTGTTTTTTTTTTTCAAAATTTTGTGCACAATTTAATTGACAAATTTGATGATTGAAAATGGTTTAATCTGTAGCGTGAAAACTTGAATATCATTTATTGGGACCCAAGTGATGTTTTATAACATTTTCATTTCAATAATCCTTGCTTATTCATTGAAAAGCTCAAGTTTTTATTATAATGTGAAATCTTGAGTTGTGCTGAATGGAATTGTTTGAAACAATCAATTTTTCACCATAAAAATCATTTGTTCCGAATCGTAACAAATTTATTCGTATTCAGAATTTTACCAAAAATCGATTTCACGCCTAAAAAAATCAAGTTTCCGGAAGTTTAAACATTTTCAATTATTTATTTATAAACAATGAATGGTTAAAAAAAATTCGGGGCAAAGTGTTTTTTTTTTTTTCAAAATTTTCTGCACAATTTAATTGACAAATTTGATGATGGCAAAAGGTTGAATCTATAGTGTGAAAAATTGAATATCGAATATTATCAAATACAATATAATATTGAATATTGAATTTATAATGTTTTCATTTCAATGATAATTTCTTATGCATTGAAAAGCTCAAGTTTTGATTATAATATGGAATCCTGAGTTTTGCTGAATGGAATTGTTTCATGTACTGGTGTTTTCTTTGCAGATTGAATTCATTCTTAGAGGGATTCTACGACATTATCCCCAAACGATTAATTTCAATATTCAATGAGCAGGAGCTCGAGTTGCTCATAAGTGGTTTACCAAATGTTGATATCGAGGATCTGAGAGCGAATACAGAGTATCACAAATACAGTCCCACTTCACTACAGGTGAATATTGTCATTCAATTCAATCATTTTAAGTTTGTGAAGTCGTTAAAATGAAATCTTATCTTGATAACTAACTATTTTGGGACCGAAAAATGTGTTGTGGCTTTTTGTCTTGAAATAAATTCCTTCCGAGACAGATTGATGATTTACAAAATTGTCTTCTGACTCATTATTGATGTTTTTTCTTTGTAAAAAAAAATAGATTCAGTGGTTCTGGCGTGCTCTTCGTGGATTTGATCAAGCAGATAGGGCTAAGTTCCTTCAATTCGTAACGGGAACGTCGAAGGTACCTCTTCAAGGCTTTGGGGCACTTGAAGGCATGAATGGTGTACAGAAATTCCAGATTCATCGGGACGATCGTTCAACTGATAGATTACCGTCCGCACATACATGGTAAATATTCATTCCTTGAATTTTTCATGACATAAAAATTTATAAAAATTGAAATTTTTAGGAGAGCGACATTCAATTCGATTTTGGAGGAAACAAATATCAAATTCTTTAAATTCCCTAAAAATTCTGTGGAATTCCAACAACAGAAAGTCGAGAATTCCTTAACTTATTTTAATTTTTAAGTAAAATATGAATACTCAGTCTCAAATTACACAGAATGTCCAATTAATTAAGTTCTCCTGAATTTAACTAATTTTCATGGAATAAGTGAACTAAAATTTGAATTTCTGAATTTCCAACGATGAAATTGCTTGAAGTACAATGTGTTGAAAATTTCAATAACAAACAAATAGTAATGAATCTCTCTCTCACTAAATCCGCCGAAATAAATTCATAAATGAAGAGACTTGGCAATCTCCATTCACCTGATTTTTCAACCTTGTCTCATAAATAATTTCCAATTTCCAGTTTCAATCAACTCGATCTGCCAGTCTACGAGACATACGATAAACTGCGTAGCAATCTACTTAAGGCAATCCACGAGTGCAGCGAGGGCTTTGGATTTGCATAAATTGTTTTTACATAGCAAAGGAACCACCTGATAATAACAATTACCCAATATCTTCATGAATTAACACTCGACCCCCACCAGAAAAAAAAACGCGTAACAACCGAGTAAATTCAAAGTGAAAAGCGCCAATCCTTTCGTTCGTTATTTTAAAATATTTTTTTTTTACACTTTATAAAGAGCAACAACAAGATGATAAATGAACCGTTAACCGACGTCATTAATAATCCAACTCGGTAATCGGTTGATATACATAATTAACTAAAGCGTATGTACATACATGTACTCATTTTGGGGGGATGTAATTATAACTGAATCACTGTGCAACGCTTCCCAAATGTCAGAGTTTATTTTGTTGAAGAAAAAAAAACTGATAAAAAAAAATGATAAAAAAAACGTAATAAGTAAATTTTTGCAAAAGTTTGTGCAGAGCTTAAAGTTGACTTGAAAATAGCGAAGAATGATAAAACAATGATTTAAAAGAAAAAAAAACAATAATGGAGACTTTAGTTAAGAACTCGGTCGTAAGAATTAACAGTTAAGTTCATTTGTAAGCATTAATTAATAAAGAAAATTGAAAAAATAATGATAACGTAGATGTCTTAGATCGTTGAGGGATACGAGAGAGCATCGAGGATATAAATTGTATGATATTGCACTTGATGATATGATAAAGTGATCAGTGATGATGATTAGATCGATTATCAATTGGGGAATTCAATTCTTTCCCTTTTTTCATGTCCCTTTGTTCTTTATTTTCGTTCGTGAGAGAGTAATTAGAGGGAAAAATACGCAAGATTAAGACTGCAGGGATCGATAATGTTGTAAGTATGAAAGTGTGAATGATTATAATTCGTGACACTAAACAGCCTAAATGAAATTGAAAAAACATTTTTCCACGCGATGATAAATCCTGTCCCCTCATGACAGATGTATGGTTGTACACTATTTAGTATTAATAATTCTAGATAATTTTTAAATGGTAATAGCTGATAATTTCTAAGTAATATCATTTTAATATTAATCATTCGAAGAAAGAAAATTGTGATGTTGTTAAAAAAGGGAAAAATAACGAGAAATACAACAAAATATGTGTCTTTTTTTTTCTTCAAGTCTTTCTAAAATCGATGGCTTTGGGGGTTTGATTGATTGAATAGCTCGTAACGCGGTGTTTGTAACAAGAAAATATATTATGTATTTCGTATTTACAGATGCACACGATAATTGAGACACAGTTTTTTACAAATGAACAAAAATTTCTTATAGATACTGCTGGCGAGCCATGAGTTATAAGATGATTTACGTATTGTTATTGACTGTAGAGACCCATCCACAGGTGGAAACAACAGGCGTTTACGAATCCCTCGATCAGATTGTGAATTTCACACAGGTTGAAGGGAGAACTTGTTATTTCAGCTGATTTACGGTAGACTGCGTAGAGTTCCTGCAAACATTAGATGTAAATATTTAATTTAATTTATAATCGATTCCATTTAACATCCATTTTCATTAATTTATCAGTTTAGTGATTATTTCCGTGATTGAAACGTTGAAATTACTCAGTGAAACATTCCTATTAAATAATTATTAGTTTATGAAATTTAATTGATAAAATCAGGTGAATAATTTACTAAAGTGATGAATTCTGAAATGAAAATCAATTGACTCATTTGAAACGAATTCATTCACTTGAAGAATGGGAATGAATATCAAAAGTCATTATAAAATCAAAACAGTAATTAATCAATCTCTTAAAAAATTAAAAACGTATTGGTTTACGAAATCTATTTGACAAAATTATGAAAATAATTTACTAATATTGATGAATTTTTTAATGAAAATCAATTAACTCATTTGAAATAAATTCAATCATTTCAAGAATGAAAATGAGTAACAGAATTTATTATAAAATCAAAACACTAGTTAATCAATCTCAAAAAATGAAAAACTGATTGATTTATGAAATCTAATTGATAAAATCATGAAAATAAACCAATATTGAGTAATTTTTGAATGAAAATCAATTAACTCGTTTGAAATGAATTCAATCACTTGAAAAATGAAAACGAATATCAAAATTCATAATAAAATCAAAACACTAATTAATCTCTCAAAAAATGAAAAAAAAAAATTGTTTACGAAAAATCATGAAATCATGAAAATAATTTACGAATATTGCCGAATTTTTTAATGAAAATCAACTTATTTGAAATGAATTCAATGATTTGAAGAATGAAAACGAAAAACAAAATTCCTCATAAAATCAAAACCCCAACTAATCAATCCTTCAAAAACCGAATAAATTATTGAAGAGTCAACTCACCCCCCTGGACGTATGCAGATCAATGGTCAGCATCATGAAGGCCTGCAGATAGCTAGGATGGAGTATCAAATGATGAGTGACATTGCCATCGGGCGTGCTAAACTGTTTGTGATGCTCCTGATACTTATTCTGCAGGACCTTCGCGAGTGTCTGGTACCACCCAATGGGCTGATTGACGAGAGGACTGAGCCTGGCATCCAGGGCAGAAAGTGTTTCAGCTTTAGCCAGTGACTTGAGCTCCATGAACTCATTATAACTCATCGTGGACTTGTTCTCCAGAAGCTTATTCCACAGAAGATGAGTCCTGCAATGCAGCGTTCCCCTCTCAATCATGTTGGTGATGTGTTGCCTCGCAGCCTTCGCCTGAGAAATGATCAGCTGCTGCATCAGCTGCTCATGAGACGAGTAATACCCCAGATAATTCACCGACTCCTGTCGAATCTGCATGAAGTGAGGGGACTCGGGGGTGTTTCCAGCACTGGCACTCATCAGAGGAGAGGTGGGCACTGGTGGAGGTGTTGGTGCCATCTCCCTCTTCTCCTCCTCATGATCATTCTTGGGATTCTCCCTCACTGAGCTCACAGAGTCAGAATTGCTCTCTGTATACTCTGAATCCGTGTTGCTGTCGTCCTTGAGACCCTTCTCCGACGATGGGACTGGCGTAGTTGGCCCAGACTCCAGGTAATTCTCCACATGACCACCTGCCGTTGTCTTCACAACACTGTAAACAGTCCTGAACTTTCCCAATTTGTTGTTCTCCACCTCTCGTTTGGGATACAGCTCCCTCTTGCTGGTTAATATCAGGTAGAACTTGAGACTGATCTCCGTCTTCTCGATCTGGGGCGGCTGATCCTGCTTGGAGACGATCAGAGCAACAGTGAAGTCATCAGTGTACTTGGTATCCTGTGCATCGCAGTAGCTGACCAGGGGCGTGCTCTGGAGCCTCACCAGGACGTACTCGCTGTCCCTCGTGTCCTGGGAGTCGCTCGTCATCCCGAAGACCTGCATCCCATAGGTCTTCTCGTGGGACAGCAGGTACGAGTACAGAGTGTGGGCTGGAGTCGTCAAGCTGCTGACATTAACAACATCACTGTAGACCAGGTTCCTAGCGAAATTGGGGGCTTTGCTGTAGTACTTGATGAAGTCGTCCAGGAACTGGGTGAGGTGGTAGCCCTGTTGCAGGGACCACTGGCCAGTCCCAGCGATGTACGAGTGAATGCATCGAAGGTGAAAGTCATACGTGAAAGAGTGAAGATGCATGTTGATCTTGATTTTGTCACAGGCATCAATGAAACTCGACATGAATTGATTCACTGATCCAGTGCTGGATTTCGTCTGGAGTCTGTTGCACTCGATTATGTGGAGCTTGACGATGAAGAAGGGCTCTGACAGCTGAATCTCGAAGACCAGAATCCCACCCAGCATGGACTTTTTGAGGTAGCAGACCTGGTGGGGGTCGTCAGGATTGCTCTTTTCGCCGTCGATCTGGACAGGGTGGAACCCCAGGAGTTGGAGGTACTGCTTGTACTCCGAGAGCATCGAGGCGCAGAGCTCCTGGTGCCAGGAGTCGACAGCCTTCTCGGAGTGTTTGTCCAGCTTTTTGTAGAGCTGGGAGACTTGAGAGCCGATTGGGGAGATTGAGGATGGGGGAGTTAGGGAGTGGTCCCTCGTCGCTGCTGACTGGAGCCGCCACTGGGGCAGGAAGAGGATTGGGGTGTGACAGTAGTGGATCAGTCGAGAGTACTGTTTGAATGTCTGGAGGGTCAGCGCTGGCATGGGGATGCTGGGGGCTGCACTCCTGCTCTGCCACATGGAGTACAATTTCGTCAAGTCTTCTTTGGCCTTCCTCTCTCTTTGGTAGAGGTCCTGGAGGTCGTAGATGCCCTTCACCACTGGGTCTGTGGTGTTCGGAGGGTACTGCATTGTAGGTCTGGCGTCTCTCATCACCTGCCCCAGCATTCGATCCCAGGAGTACTGAGGGACTGACTTCATCAGTTGCCCACTTCTCCTGGGCCACTCCTTCCCCTCTGCTGTCAGTGGGAACTTTGCGAGGCTCTCGAGGTCCGATATCTGGTACTGGGGGTGGTCCTCCCGGTGGTGGTAACTGTCCAACGACTGATGATGAAACACCCCCAATTTCTGAAGTGTTATGCTCGAGAACAAGATGGATCTGGAGGACAACCAGGTGGCCAGGCTCGTCGTCTGTTTAATCAGCTTCTCTGATCGTTCCTTCGACCAGTTGTACATGTACATCACCACCTGGTGGCTCTCCACCTGCGCCAGGAGCAGTCGCTGCCTGGGGATGAAGCTCGACTCCTGGATGAGGGGGTTGAACTTCTGCAGGAGCTTCTGATCCTTCGGGATCAGGGACTCGGGGTCTGGCACTTCACTGAAGGATGCCTTCCACTGGTTGAAGTTCCTCGCCACCACCACTGCTTTCGTGAAGGATCTCTGGTCCTCCTGAGGGAATTCATATGGCACATAAATTATTTTTTCATTCTCATCACTGTCAACCCCTCTCTTGGCCTTCTTCTGGCCTCCTCCTGGGTCATTATCCCCCCTAAATGGTAATCTAATGGATTCATCGATGGAATCATCAACGACAAACGGCTGTGTCTGTCTCAAAACAAAACTCCTCGTGGAGGTCTCAGGGGCATTGATTCGTATCAAGTTCTGCAGCTCCCCGACGATGGTGGGAATGGGATGTCGGTGCTGAATACTGACGACGTGTTTCTTCACCGAAGGCACTCCCATGTCCAGAGCGAACTGAAACCAGGAGGGAAGTGTCCTGTGGTAGATCTCGTGGAGCTCCCCCTCTTCCCCAAGCTCGTCAACCCCCATTCGTCGATGACTCTGAGATTCTCTCCTCGGGGAATCCCCCTCTGAGCCCTCATTCAGATCGCTCTTCCCCTCACCCCCAACAACAGTCAGGGGCACAGGCAGGAGACGGTACTCAACAACCAGGTCCCACGTCGCATATTTAATGGCAGCCCTCAGCTTCTCCACCAGTGTCTCCAGATACACTCTCCCCTGCCTCCAGACTCTGAACTCTATTGGAGAACCTGACAACGTGCAGGAGCTAGTCCCTTCGTAAGAATTCGTGGAGACGACGTCCTTGAACTCCTCGGGGGACAGGTGCCCAGGGAATTCCAGGAGACAGTCGGCCTCGTTGACGTCCTTGGAGATGGCCATGGCGATGCAGGCGATCCCCTTGTTGCCACTCGACTGGCTCTGATTGTTGAGGAAGATGTCGGTCTCTGGGACTCGTTTGTTGGACCCCTCGGGCTGGGAGTAGTCCTGGAAGTGATAGTGCCCCCTGGGATCCGTGTACTTAGGGATGTAGAGGAACTGGAGAACGTTCTGCCTGAGGTAGTAGGCGAGGGCGTTCATGTGTGACGAGTAATAAGGCTGGATCGAGAACTGCACGTAGCTCTCGGGGGATCTGTAGGGCTTCTGAATGAAGTGAACGTCTGCTGGAGTTAATTTGCACATTGGGTTCCTAGCTAGCATCACAGAGAGCACCTCCAAGACGGCGTCGTCCAGCCGGTTGTGTAGAACCTGAACCAGGTCCTGCCTCACCTCCACCCCGGGCTCTGATATTCCATGCACCATCAGGACGATCGAGTCGTCGCACTTGCTGAGATAATCAGAGTCCTTCTCCCCGAAGGATCTCACCCTCGGTCTGGTGTCGTCCACCCTCGACTGGTCCTGCTGCACCCCAGGAGTCCTCGGCTGAGACAAGGAAGCGATGCTGCTACTCCTGGAGACCATCAGTTTCTCATCAGACTCGGATAATTTATTCTGCAGTGGTTTTCCATCCCCAGTCTGCTCGTGCAGGCGAAGGTAGAAGACATTGGAGTTGTTCTCGCGATAAATGAACATGTTGTTTCTGTTGTTGACTGAGAATCTGCTCAGCACAACGTGAAGTGCCTTGATCCCTCTGGACAATCCCGATCTCCCAGGCCCTGTCTTCAGCCTAGGGTGGAGGGAGAAGGGGACTTCCCAGACGACTGAGCACCTGAACATGCCAGGGGTCATGTTCACTACTGACTCGTGCTTGGGGATCATTCCTGATTCGCTCGTCGAGTCTGCCCTCCAGTTGTGGTCCTCGTGGGACTCTGGCTCCAGCAGAGAGTCGCAGTTTCTCGTATCGTGGAGGCTCTCCAATAACAGGTACTGATTGACCCTCCTGCAGATCGCTGTTATCTGCGCCACCACCATCTTCTGGACCTGCGTATACCTGTCCACCTCAGGAGAGGCGAACTCCAGAAATCTGCAGTGGAAGTAAACGTTCACGTGGCTCTTGTGCACCTGGAGGATCAGCCAGAAGTTGGGGAGAGTGTCTCGTCGTTTGTCCAGGTCCACCAGCCAGCAGCAGTCGTCCTCGGAGTTGCTGCTGTCCCCCTCGTAGCCGTCGTCGGTCCCCGGGTGGCCCTCACCAATGCTTGAGATCTCTGAATGACACCCTGGGGGGTCGCCAGAATCCTGCCTCGAGGTCCTGCTGTTGACGTCCTGGGGACTGTCCGAATCGTCCAGCTCCACTGTCGACCTGTCCTCATCATTCATCTCCAATTTCGTTTCGATGCAGCTCTCTGCATGGCCCATTGTCCTCTCGTCTTTAACGAAATATAGAAATCGTTCAAGTTGCTTTATCATGTACCTGTCCACCTCCATCTTTATGAGCTCCTCGTGGAACTTGGGGGCACTGTTGCTCGAGGGGAAGACGAACTGCAGGGGAACTTTATCTATGTGACAGCTGGTCCTCCCACTGGACTCCGACACGTGTTTAGCCACGAACTCCAGGGTCTCCTCTGTTGGAGGTGTGCTATCCAGCAGCGCCGTTGCCACTTCGTCCCTCAGGAGCCACTCGATCTCCATTCTCAGGGTGGAAATGGCGTCGTGCTGATGATGAGGCAGATGAGCAATTCGTTCTCGCAACAGTAAATCCTCTGACAAAGCCGTGTCGTTCCCAGGACTGCTCTCACTCTCAGTCTTCAGACTTCCCACTGGAGAGGCACTGCAGTAGGACGTCGTCCTCAGAGCCACACGCTCCAGGCTCACCTCCAGCACCTCCCTAGGGAGATTCAGGCAGATTATGTCCAAAGTTATCTTCACATTGTCCAAGTCTGAGACGTTGCAGTCCTCAAGGTGCTGCTGCAGCTCGGCGAAGCACGTGGGGAGGAGCTTCACAGGAATGCTGGAGAAGTTGGATCGCGAGTGGACCGAGCAATTCAGCTGGAGAAAGAGTGGCTGCTCCTTGGAGTTGCGGTCGTCCTCACGAAGATCACTGATGAGGGACTCGGTGGAGTCGTAGCTGGAGAGCTTGACCTCATCCCTCAGGTTGGAGATGGTCCAGGTGCCATTGGAGGAGACAGTCTTCATTTGTCCATCCAGCTTGCACTCGAGTTCCGAGGGGAATGTGAAGCCCTCCTCCAGGTCGTCATCACTGTCAGACCTGTGGAACTCCATCTGCCTGTCGGCATTGTGAAGGGGCGAGCAGTAGTAGAACTCTGGATGCGCTGGGACTGGTTTGAACGCCACCTGGATGATCCTCCTGAATTTCTCTCGAATCAGGTTGTGGAGGGGCTGGAACTCCACGCAGGTGGAGCTCGTGTAGTCCTCGGGGTCTGACTTGCTGGGGGAAGCCGATGGATTCAGGTGCTTGCAGACTGTTTTCAGGTAGTTTGTTATGTTGATCTCGATGAGGGACTCTTCGCACTGCTCCACAGCGGCCTCCATGTCCTCGTAGGACAGCTGGAGCTGCAGGGAGAGGGACTTGTAGACTGCCACGACGAAGCAGTGGCAGTGGGCCAAGTTCAGGAGCTTGCAGTGCTCCAGGAGGCTCCTCTGGTCAGTTCCATTGTCAGAGTCCTCGCTCTTGGGCTCTGGGGACGCTGATTTGCAGTCGTTCGAGGACTTCAGGTGGACGAAGTCCTCGTGGATGTGATGACCCACTGAGAATGTGTTGTTCTGGTAGATGTCTTTGGACCTGGGGGAGGTGAACTTGTTGATGATGACCTCGATGAGGAGGGCTAGGGAGCAGTCGTAGACGTAAATCGGGAGGATTAGGCCTGGTTTGGGCCCTCCTGAGGGGACTCTGCGTCTTCTGTCTGCCTTTGGGGTGCTCTCGGTTGTCGGCGTTCGACTGGAGATGCTCGAGTCGAACTCGAATTTCTTGGGAGTGCTGAACCACGAGGAGATGGCCTTCTCCTCCGATGGCGAGAGCTTGTCCAGCTTTTCCAGGGATTTCTCGCGGGAGTACTTGCGGTGCTTCTGGGGAGGGTTCAACAGCGTTCGGACGTCTCTTTCCGTCGAGGGGAGCAGCGTCAGGATTATGTGGGTTGTACTGATGCCCTTGATGAAGCAGCGCCATCTTATCGAGTTCTTCTGCTTCTCGGTGAGATCTGGGGAGAAGGGCAGCGGGGAGGTGCCCTCTCGGGGACGGGTGCAGAGCATCGCTGTGAAGTCCTGGCATTCGGAGGCCGTCAGCAGGATCTCTTTGTTGTGGAGGTGCTTCATGTGGTCCATCAGATTCTCGAGGAGAATGCTGTTGGTGTTCTCCGAACCGTCTTCGGGGAATGACGGGCCTAGGGGAATTTAGAGAATTTAATGATTTTTGAGGGGAAGATGAGTAGGGAAAATTTCACAAAACCCTAGCAATTTGACAGAAAATTCTATTGGATTTACATTGATTCTTGGGCGATTTTGTTTAGTAGAAATCAGTAGCGAAGTGGTAAAACGGTTTAAGACCCGCGTGGATTATCTTTCGAACGTTATCTCGATTGTTTTTCCATCTTCATAGTGTAAAATATGTCACAATTTCTATTGGATTTTACAAAAAAAAAAAAAAAAACAGAAAAAACTGAACATTTTTAAAAAGCGTTTTTATTAAAGATTAGGAAATAAGTTCGGTAGAGAGGAAATAGTGAATGGATAATTTATCATGGTAACTAATGATATGGCAGCCATTGACTACTGTGATAAATGACGACCTAACAGTCATTAGATACGTCAACTTATTAATTTGAAATTTCCTCCCTATTGGGTTTACTTCCCAATATTATTCAAAAATGCTCTTTGAAAACGTTCAGCTTTTTTCCGCGTTTTTTTTTATTGTACAATCATAATTTTTGGAGACTCCAGGGCTATGTGAAACTGAATAGCAATTGGAGATCATTTCGAATTATCAAATGAAAAAAAAAACAACCGAAATCATGTTCGAAAGATAATCCATCCAGGCCTTAAGTCGATTTATCTCCCAGTTGAGTTTTTGAGGAATATTTCCGAATCTAAGGGAGATAGCGAAATATTCGTAACTACATTTGTTGTAGCTCTCAATCGGCTCTACAAAAAAGATGATAATAAAAATTTTGCTATCTCCCTTAGATTCCGAGACATTCATTGAAAGTCAAAATTGACTTCCAATCTTGAAAAAATTCACGTGAACCGTCTTACCACTTCGCTACTGAAATGTTCGATGAAAAATATTCTATAGAAAAAATAAATGGAATTCTATTTATCTATATAACTTGGTCCATTTTCTGTGGAAATTCCGCGGCTCAAATTTACCAAATTTTTTGTTGAATTTTTTATAATAAAAGTGAAGAAAAATGGAGTGAAAAAAAAGCTGGGAAGACTCCATCGATTTTTTTTGTAGATTTCATGTCGTTCTACTAAAGTGATCTCCCTGAAGATTTGATAATAAAAAATGAGCTTCTAAAAATGAATTGAGCAGGCATCCATTCCATTCAAGTAATTTCTTTATCAAATGCAACTTTTGGAGAAAACTTCCTTCTTCAGAAGTATACGTAAAAAAATCGCACAGAGATGTTCTATGATACATTAACATCAATCAAATTGATTAAATTTTATTGCCCTCCCGAAATATGCAAAATTAAAAATTAAAATGACTCCAAATTGCTCATTTAAAATTCATTAGAATAAAATTCATCAATGCAATCGTCTAACCATCAGCGAACATGGAGAACAGCAACTCAGCTTGTTGGCACTTGGGAAGAATACTCAGGGCATCGAAATTAAATAATTTATGATCGATACTGTCATCCCTGGAGGGCGTATTGAGAAACGACTTCGATTGAGTGAAGTTATTAACGGAAGTCCGTCGTGAGGGCCCCCGATTACCCTGATTATACAGATTATTCTGGTACTGGTATCCATTCGTCGGATCGACACTGCCCTCGCGCGCCTCAACCTGACTCAGCAAGCTCAAGTGCTCTAGAGTCAAAAGGGCGTTTATGCACTCCTCGTCGATTCGGGATATCTGGAAGAAATAGAAAAAAAATCCAACAGGTCATTCTACTGTACATGGCTATTTATTCCATTAATTATTATTAATTGCAAATGAGGAATTTGTGTGCTATAAATTTACGTACAATTCTTCAATTATCTCGAATGATTAATTACTTGTTGAGAAAAATTAAGAGACCTTTTTTGTCCAATCAATACAAAAAATACTCTAGAAAACTCCAGAGACGAATAAAAGAAGTGAAAATATTTCTAAAAAAAAAAAAAATTGAACAGTTCATTCTACTGTACATGACTATTTATTCCATTAATTATTGATAATTATGGATGAGGAATTTGTACATAACGCTTTATTCCAATGATTATCGATAATTATAAATGAGGAATTTGTGTCTATAAATTTACGTAGAATTCTTCAATTATTTCGAATGTTAAATCACTTGTTGAGTAAAATTAAGAGACCTATCTTGTCCAATCATTCCAAAAATAATCCAGAAAACCCCAAAGACGAATAAAACAACCAGACATTTCCATAAAAAAAAGGAAAAAAAATCCAACAACTCATTCTCCTATACATGACTATTTATTCCATTAATTATCATCAATTATAAACGAGGAATTTGTGTCAATAAACTACATACAATGTTCGATCACTTATTGAAGGACAAATTTAGGAGAGTGTTCTAATTAAAATACAGAAAAATGAAGAGACTAGGTGCCCGGAATAAGTTGGAGGAGTTGAATCTCACTTTTAATACCAAGCGCAGAGACCACTTCTCCACTTGAACCGCGACACCTCCAATAAATCCAAAAACTAATCCATAAAATCCACAAGAAGAACAGAACAACCGAAGATTATTTCCCCAAAAACGTCGAGTGAATATCTCATCGACGAAAAATTCCAGAGGACGCTAAGCTGGAAGAAATAGATCTGGCAATTAATTCGAGTGCAAAACCCACTGCCTAGATCCTCACTTCCAACTGATTGTCCCCTGGACGGATCAGCAGCCGAAGAGACCGGGAGAAGCACCACTTGAAAACTTTCACAATCACAGAATGAAAAATTTCCCCCGTCGCTGAGGGAGATCACGAGTGACTGAGGTATTCGACACGTTGATATAAAAACTAGAATGACTAGGCCCAGGTGACACCGCCAGGGGCCCCATATATACCCACGGAGACTGATAGGCAAACCCCGTCCTAGGTCCCTCATCGATATCCGAGCCCCACCCTGATAACGATAACGCCACGCTCGAGATATACCGATACAACGTGTCAACTTCAATCATTTCAGCAAGATTTTATTGATCAATTCAATTGATACGAAATTAAATTGAAGCGGCCCCGGGGTGCAAAGGTCCATTTCACTCCTGGAGAACTCTCAGCTTCACATTCTCATTCTCATTCTCATCCCAGTCTTATCTCATCCGGTGATAAGGTGAAAAATAGGTGATCCGAATTTCTCGGGGAAGGCCTAGTGGAACAAAAATTAAACTCTCTAACGAACGATTTTTTTTATTGAGAAAGACTGAGATGACTTTGAGGAGTTTTGATATCAGCACTGGGAGATAAGATTCTCCCGGGAGATTAATTTCGACAGAACATTATTTTCTCGAAAATAATATTCGAGGGAAAAGATAAAACGCAGTGGTCTTATCGAAGAAATAAAATCGTGTGGATGTCGATTAATTCGAAAGTTGGAGATTGATGGAAGGGAATTGGAAGTTCTCGGATAATGCAGGGGTCGAACTTTATCCACAATTGAATGGTGCGATGAAGAATCCGAAACAATAATCTCTGGGAACGGTATCTCTGTCCAATGTTTGCTGAGATATAGATGTCCATGGCAAAATAAACCACTTCAAAGTATTAATGCCCGAGAAACAATTCTCCTCTCGAACTGATTAGGAACGATTTATCAAGGCAGCGGAGATAGCACTGGTGTCGCGACTCTCTACACATCCGGAGAATCTGAAGAACGAGATAACTCGATGGTTTCCCTGTACGATGTGATTATTTTTTCGAATGAACAGATTCGTTACGACAAACCACGAAATTCGAATTAAGCCCTCATAGTTTCTGTTTGATCTATTGATGTCTGTGCAAGTATTGATCCTAGTTATCTTATCAGAGAAGAACGTTTTGAGGAATACGAGAAACTCTTATCACTTCCAACTAGCTGAATGACGTTTGGAATGATTGTTCAGTCTTTATTTTTCTCCATTAGTGAGTTTAACTGCAATTAAATATCAATTTTTCGTTTGTAGTTGATGATAACGAGATGTTGAAATAGTTAATAATAATTTAATTGGCATTCTCATATTTTCTGTAATATTATAATATTTCTGTATTTTTTTCAATATTTTAATCCTGTCATGAAGAACAAACAAATGAAGATATTAGCGACGGAAAATATGTTGGGAAAAGTGAAGATAATCATTATTCAATTTTTATTTTTCTCCATCAGTGAGTTTAACTGCAATTAAAATCAATTTTTCATTTGTAGTTGGTGATAACGAGATGATGAAATTGTTATTAATAATTTCATTGACATTCCTACATTTTCCGCGATATTTCACGGTTCTTTCATATTTATTTAATATTAAACTAGAGTGAAATGTTCTTCTATTCAATATCTTTTGAATATTTCAATCCTGTTATGAGTAATTTATCTGAAGAATAAACAAATGAAAATACTAACACCGTAAAATTCATCGAGAAAAAACGCACCAAACAAAGATGAAGCTATGAAACATTCCTCAACATTAGGTAAACCTCGTTCGATCGACTAATCCGGTAAAAAAATCTGCGAATGGTTTAGAAAATCCTGTAATTTCCCTGGAAATTCCAACATTTTTCGAAAAAGCCCCGAATTGTTCAGAATGTTGTTGCAAACACCTGAATTTTCTCGATCTTATTGGAAAAGTCCCAAATGATTTTGAAATTCTCAGAACATCTGAGAGATTTTGAGAAAGCTTGGAATTTTTTCCAGAATAAAAAACCCTCCCTCGTATCTTGCTAAAATTCACCAGAAGGTTTTAAAATTTTCCAGACGGTTCTAGAATATTTCAGAATTTTCTACCTCAAATTTTTCATAAAAACGTCGAATTGTCTCAAATTTTTGAAAAAAAATTCAATAGTGAAGTGGTCAAACGGTTTAAGTCAATTTTAGCTATTGGCCAGTTTTCAATGAATATCTCGAAATCTAAGGGAGATAGCAAAATTGTTCTCATAACCTTTGTAGTAGCACTCAATTCGCTCTACAAAAAAGGTTATAATGAAAATTTCGCCATCTCCTTTAAATTCGTTAATATTTCTGGAAAACTCAGCTAAAGACTAAATCAACTTGAACCGTTTGACCACTTCGCTACTGAATTCTTCAGCATAATTTTCCAAAGGCATTACAACAACGACATATCAGAGACCCAGGCTCCAAACAAAAATAAATATTGTCACATCAAGGAAATAAAGAATTGAAGAATTGAATTGTTCTGCAATGAATACTGTGAGAATAATGAATTCCTAAAAATAAATAAAAAACAACTTACAGCATCTGGAAACTGATGGTAGCTCAGTCCATCCATATAAGCCCCCGTGGGATGTCCAGCCTTGACCCTGCCACACTGTGGCTCAACCCACACCTCAGTGACAATCTGATAATCCCCCGAATTCTCATTATCATCGTTCCCAGCTTCTCCATCAGCGGTTCCCTCGTCGCTATCCTCTTCAGACTCACTGTCCCTCTCCATGCTGGGGCTGCTAATAGTGTGCGGTGGAAAAATTATATACTGGATTACGCAGGGATGGTACTCGTTCATCGCCCCGAGCATCTCCACCTCCAGCACCATATTAATGATCCCCGCAGCGGAGTACGCAAAATTGAACCCCTCATTGAGTCGCATCTTGGTGATGGTCGAGAGAATCCTCGCAATTGCAGTGATATTGAGCCTCGGCACAACTATCCCAGGAATCGTCTGGATAACCGGTCGTTTGACATTCCAGAGCCACCGGAAATGGAATAAATACCTGGATGAAGTATAAGATTGCATGACAATCAGTGAAATCCTTCGAGGGATTGAAAAAAATTAATTAACGATGATTTTTTTTCTTTTGTTTTTCTCTACACTGATAGACTAATTCATTTATTCCAAACGAGATTCGTTAACTATTAACGAATGGTAGAGTTGAATATAACCACATGAATTTTCGTTAATAGTTAACAAATGGTTCGTTTGAAAGGTGAGAATCGAGTCAAACGAGCCTTCTCATATGTGAATTTGTTAACTATTAACGAATGAACATTTGGTGAGACCGAATAGACCCTCATCTCCAACCAAATCCATTCGTTAACAATAACTAATCCTTTCTATCAGTGTATGATCCACTCTGTTCATTTATTTATTGAATGAGGCTCCCGTTGCTATTTTCAAAGTATTTGTTATCCTTTAATTTACTAATATTAACCAATTGACTTATTCAAAATTTAACTTCATTTTAAATTTCTGATTATACCGATGTCTATGAAAATTCAAGTTTTCCTTGAAATATCGATTTCTCAGTATAAACAATTCAACTTCATCAAATTTCCAAGACGAGCCGCGAATTTCGTAAACAACTCGATCTCAAATTGAATGCAAACCCACCCCATTGAAAATTCACCACTGACTCAATAAATTTCTAAAAGCTTACTAATACATTCTACAAACAATCTAGCCACTCCTGTACCCCGAAATCCTCACATTCTAAAAAAATACCTGGATAAAGTCGTTGTGAGGACCCCCCCAGGAGCCTGAGCACTCTTGGCAATCGGCTGCGTCCCGTCGGGAAAAACGACAGTATTAAAATCCGTGGGCATCCTCTCATACCTAATGAGAATCCTCTCCAAGGACTTATGAATAATGGTGCAGCAAGGGGTCTCCCTCATCTCGGTGGGCCTATTAGGCAGGGTCAGCTTCGAGAGTCTCTCCACCAGATCCATCACCACGTTGTGCCTGACGACGCCTTCAGTCCCCCCAGCGAAAGCAACATGGAGAACCACGCAAAGTGCCTTCGAGTTGATCCTAATAACCGAGAAGGACACGGGGGGCTTCTCCGGCTCCCTATAAATGAACTGGACGTACGTGTGGTTCTCCACGAGCACGAAGGTCGCCCAGTTCTTGAGCATTGCATAGAGCACCGCAGCCCCCTGACGACACTGAATGCACTGGAACCTCCCACTCTGATTGGCCTGATGGAGGTACTTGGGGAGAGGTCTGTCGTGAGTTAGGATGAGTGTGACCCTCTGGGAGTGCATCCAGCGTGCCCACTGGTTCGAGTCCAGTGACGCCACTGGCTTCCAGATCTTTCCAAACTGAGGGCAGACAGCATCACTCAGTTGGACAGCAGTGGCCAGGGGATAAGCTGGCAGATAGAACACTGGAATCCCACTCCTGATGGTGTCTGGCACGTTGTACCAGGTCCAGCCGGGCTCTGGGAACCAGCTGAAGTGCTCCAACATGGTGTCATTCTCTGTGAGAGAGCTCAAGGTCGCCCAGAACCTGGACACAACGTTCTGTCTGTACTGGGACTTCAGGGGCTTCTTCGAGAGGCAGGTGATGTCGTGGAGGAATTCGTAAGGGGCTTCCACGGTTATTGTGTACTGGATTGTGTTGCAGGTGGCCACTGACCTCGGGGGCCAGGAACTCGAGATGAAGTACTCGAGGAAGACGTGGGTCTTCCAGGGGAGGATGAAGCAGATCTCGACGTTTCCGTCCCTCAGGGACATTCTCTTGATCAAGTATCCGTCCCTCAATCGACAACAGAGGAGAGAGCTCAGGGTGCAGGTGACCTTGTTGTCGATCTGCTTCTTCCTGAGGAGCTGGGGCTGGTGACCGTAGAACAGAGAGTTGTCGGTCTGCCAGTAGTTGGATTTCATCGGGTGCTCGCTGGGGACTGTTCTGTATAACTGCCAGCAGAGGAAGTTCCTGTGGTAGATGTTCATGTCCTCGTGGCTGGAGAACTGAGGGATGAAGGTCATGTAGCAGCCGAGGGTCGCTGTAGCCAGGAAGCAGAGGATGTCTTGGTAGGGGACGAGACCGTTGGCGCAGTGAGGGTGGTAGGCACTTCCAAGGTGGAGGAAGCTGCAGGCTATCGTCGAGGCCCGCAACTGCTGGACGATTGAGTCCAGGACGTAGACGTCGGAAATGCCGACTATTCCGTCGGACACGATCACCAGGTGGGCACAGCTGTGCTCTGGGAGGAGAGCCAGCGCCAGCATTCCGTACCTGTGAGTTGAAAAATAAAAGAATTAAGTGGCTCATGTTCTTCGTCGTTTTTTTAGTTTTGCTGGGCTGAGGAAAATTGTGATTAATTAATTAGGGGAGGGTGGGGTAAAATGGACACTTTAGACTTTTGTAAAATTATTCATAACTCAGAAGCAAATTTATCAATTGCGCTCAGTTTAGGCTCGCCACAAAGGGAAAGAATTCTTCTTTGTATTGAAGCAAAATTATTAAATTTTATCAACATTTCAACCCCTCATTAACATTTTTAAAAAAGTCAAAAGTGTCCGTTTTACCCCAACCTCCCCTACGTTTTAAAAATTGATTAAATTATATGTGGAAATGATACACGTAGGTCGTAACACAAACAAATTCCACACACATTCAACGGAATTATCAACACAGCCTTTCAAATTAATGAAGATTTACTTTTGGCATGAGAATTCATTTAATTAAAAATAAAAAAAATTGGAACAGTACAGTGAATTGCATCAATAAATGAGAAAGTATAAAGAATTGCAAAAAAAATCGATAATCCAGTAAATTTCAACACAATTATCAACACAGCCATCGAAATCAATGAAGATTTACTTTTGGCGTGAGAAGTCATTCAATGAAAAATGATAAAAATATGAACAACAGTAAATTGGTAAATTATGTAAATTGATAGAAAATTACAATTAAACTAATCACAACAAAATCATAATATCATATTACACGATATTTCAGTTTCTTTGAAATCGACTGCCAATACTCATAATCATAAAAAATATCATCAAAACATGTTATCGAGGTGACACAAAACTTCAATTACACACGTTAAATTGTCAAGTGTTAAAAATGTGTTGAAATTTACGTGCGTTATTTTGACCGATAACCCCACACAAATCACAATTACACAAAAATAAAAAAACCGAAGACTAAACAAAACTCCCCAAAATTATATAAAAATGATGAAAATGAGAATGATTAAATCCACGATGATGTTTCCACCAAATTCTGGTCACGAAGATAATTTTTTAAAACAAAAAGATTTTAGTTTAACGTGAAGATGAGCATTGTGAGCAATGGCTTGTGCTCAGGAGGTTCTCTACAACAGAATGCACTCAATACCTCAGCATGTTGATGAAGCTGGCTTCAGGGGAGATCACAGACAAATTACTGAGGGAATGAGACGAGTTCAAAGTCATCCCCATGGTGGACACCTCGTCCTCGAAGATCCCAGAGGAGAATCTCTCGGCCTCTGCCCTCGCGATGTTCTCCTCCAAGGAATTCAGGCGCTTCTCGATGAACTGCATAAGATAAACAATGTTCTCAGAGGTTATCAGCCAGCTCTGGACCAGCACCTGCTGCGCTGGATTCGTGAAGAAGGGGGTGTGCACGATTATCGTGACGTAAATCTCTGGTCGAAGGCTCCTCTTCGTCCCAGGAATGGTGAATGGTCTGGAGACGTTCTCCAGGCACTGCTTGGTCGCCATGCAGACCTCGTCTATCACCACCTCCCCTCGCTGGATGTCAATGGTCCCCAAGGAGGGGCTCAGGTCCAGGCAGAAGACCATTCGGTACTTGTGGGCGAGAAATACCACTGACGAACTCGAGGTGATTCTGTACTGGTACTCGTGACAGGTGTCGTCACTCCAGGGGGACGAGTGGTCCTTCGGGATTATCGAGACTATCTCCAGCTCTGGGGTCTCGTCAGGATCGTGCCTGTAAATGGTAGTTAGCAAGGACATATTAACATTAATAGGTATTGCCATATGAAATTAATTTCACTTATTGTCGTAAGAAGGTACGGAGTTGAAGAAGGAATACCTTATATCAATTAAATTTAATTTAAAAAAACCTGATGGATATAATAAGAAAGGACCACAGCAATACTCCACTCAAGAACCCACAACTTATACGTTTTTGCATCAAAAGAGTACATTGTACCTTTGAAGATATTCGAATTCTAATGTTATACCAATCATTGCCAAATCATTGGACAGACGGTTTTGAATACTAGACGTGAAATAAATGAATTGGCCAGGCTAAATGTGTTTTACCGATCGTGCCTCTGGGTCTGAATGCTTATCACAGTGTCCAGGTGCTCCAGGATCCACTGGGCTCTGACATTTCGAGATATCGGAAATCCCTTCTTCATCAGGAGGTACACAGTTCCCGCCTCCAGGATGGGCCTCTCCTGCGTCTACAAGTGCTCAATAGACAATTGAAATAATCAAATAATCGTGAATTAGTCGTAAATGCAACTGGTAAATACCTCGCCCTCGGGACTATCCATCATTGATTAACTATCTACACTTAATTTAACTCTTAATTTACTAAAACAACTGTTTATTTACATTTCCCTGACTCTAAACACCACTACGTTATGAATGAAATGTTGGGTATTGGCTCGAGACACCGAGCACAATCAATGCACAGTGATAAACAGAAAATTGCCATTTGATTGGGTACTTGTGCAAAGGTCACTAATGAGTTATTTTTCTTTTGGCGGAGATTAACTGGTGATAACAGTACATAACCTAGAATTTTATTTATTATGCACTGTGAGTGGGGCTTAGGGCTCATATGGAGGAGACAGACGGAGGAAGTGTGTGTAGACAGCCGGAAGTGTTGGCCGAGGGAGTTGGGATAGTTCAAACGCTCCTCAACCGCGGCGTTTTCCCCTGGATTTTTCGTGGTAAAAGAGGCCTTTCATTAGGTTTTTTTCTTGAATTTTTAATTGCAGAGTTGTTTCGCTGTCGTTATTGGAGTTGGGATTGTTGCATTGGGGATTTTAGGACAGCTGGGATTGTTGGAAGGGATTTGTTTTCGGGGGTGGATCGAACGATGTGTGCGGGGATAACGTACGTCAGACTAAATTCCAGCGGTAAGGTCTCCTAAGAGACTTTTTCAACGTTTTATCATCGCAGGAGTGAGGATTACGGAGATATCATGGCTGAGAATGCGGGCAACTCCTCGGGACAGTTGAATCAAGGTAATTTTGGGGGTTTAGGGGGATTTTGGGGGGTTGGGGGGCTGTAAGGTTAGAGGGCCCTAACCTTCTAATCCGCTGGGTCGAACGGATTTTGTTGGGGGGAATTTTGAGGAGTTGAATTCACTTTTTTGACGGTGGGGATCAATTGAGTGATTTTTTTTATTTGTCGTTTTCTATTTGAGAATGTTCTTAAGGAATTGGGGTTTTTGTCAAGTTCCAGGATCTGGAAGAATGTTCAACTTTCAGCATCTTGACTTTCGATCCAACAATGATATTCAGAAGGAACAGTCCGGTGAGAATTCAAATGAATTCAGTTGTTTTGGATTTATGGGGAGGAAGGTAGAATGAATCGAATCCTTTTCAATCGTCAATATCTGGAGATTGGCAGAGTGAAATCCGACGATTTTTTTTTTCGTTTTGAAGGCATTTTTTCAGGCTTTAAAAATAGACGTGAGTCTTCCCAATCGCTTCGTTTCTCCCAGAGATATTGACGATTTAAGGGGATCGATTTTACCTCATCTTCCCCTGTTCTTTTATTTTTGGTTGTTCGTTTGTTGAATTTATTTATTTTACTGTTGGGGGCTTGCAGCTGATAAGAAGAGACAGCTCAAGCTGTCCTTTCCATCCCAGGGCACTAGTGTATCATTCGCAAATTCCACGAACTCGAGCAACTCAAACTCAACTGGATCTTCATCAACTCCACCAGCAGCGTAAGCTCGTCAGCAAGACTTTGTGATTATCTCTGTGATGTTTTTGATGAAATGGTTCTGATTTCGTTTTAGACGTCCTATTCTACCCCTGCCTTTGCCCAAGCTGCCAGCTAGACCGAGGACAGCTCCGCAGCCAACTCATTTCCCTGATAAGGCAAGGTGAGGAATCTTATCTGAAAATCATAGTTGCAATCACTCAAAAGCTTTCCAAATTCTTTGATGAAGTTGTGAAGTTGACTTTTTTTTCGTTCTTCTGAAGATATTTAAGCACTTTGGACATTTCTTTCACTGAAATTCTTTTCATCTGTAGTTGAACATTGAAACTTTTAGATCACCAATAGTTTTTGCAGTGATTTCATCATTAAAAATTTATAGGGTGTCACGTCTTTTAAACTACGACATTTTAACTGAAATTTTCAATTGGAACTTATCAACTAGTTTTTGCGAAATTACTATATTTTTAGGAGTTACCCGAATTTTTTAAAAATTCTTTTTTTTATTCTTTGGTTTTCAACTGACAATGTAATCCAACTCAATTTAACCACTGAACTAATGCATTCATGATTAATATCATACAAAGATTCAATTGGTTTTTATATTAACAATTACAAGAGAGCAATAATTCAGCATTAATAGTTGTTTTTTTAAGGATTTTCCATGCTTCAATATTTTGTTTGAATTGTTGATGTTTTGAGAGATATAGGGAATTCAGTCTTTTCATCTAGGCGACATTTCAATTAACAACAATAATTAATAATAATTTCATCCGTTTGGCATGTATTTAAATCTGAGCAGTTGAAATGTCGCCTAGTTGAAAAAACATGGATTCATTTATAGATCTCGATTTAATTCTTCATTTTGAAGCATTAAATTGGTATTTTTGAAGATTACGATCTTTTTCGTAAATAATGTATCAACAATTAATCTTTATTATTTATTTATTGAGAAGAAGAAAATGTTGAAAGAAATTAAGTTTTTTCAATTATCCTCAATAAAATTTTGAAAAATACTGAGAATATCCCAATTGATTCTGTTTTATTTCAAAGGGACAAACTGAGGATGTGTCAATCAATCCAAAGCACTGGTAAATTGCAACTATCCCCAGATACAGTTTACGATTTTACATCAGAAGATCTCCAAGATGTTGGCGAAATCGGCCGAGGGGGTTTTGGTACTGTAAATAAGATGATACATAGGATAAGCAATACTGTTATGGCTGTGAAGGTAAAATTCACATCATCTCTCCATAAAAATTCTCATCAAGGCAATAATAATAATTGACACGGAGATAATTAAAAATGATAATTTATGTTGCAGAGAATTCGTTCCACGGTAGACGAGAGGGAACAGAATCAATTACTGATGGACCTTGAGGTAGTGATGAAGTCAAACGAGTGTCCATGCATCGTGCAATTTTATGGAGCTTTATTCAAAGAGGGTGACTGTTGGATATGTATGGAATTAATGGACACATCGCTAGACAAATTTTACAAATTTATTTATGAGAGATTGAACAAGAGGATACCAGAGTGCATACTCGGTAAAATAACAGTGGCAACTGTAAAGGCACTCAATTACTTGAAGGAGAAGTTGAGGATAATTCATCGTGATGTTAAGCCGAGTAATATACTCCTGGATAGGCGTGGGAATATCAAACTGTGTGACTTTGGCATTTCTGGACAGCTTGTCGACTCCATTGCCAGGACTCGAGATGCTGGCTGTAGACCGTATATGGCTGTGAGTTTAAGAGATAAAACATTATTTTTAATAAATCTGAATAAATTTATTGCTGTTTTTGGAAATTATTTTGAGGAATTCTGATAGATGATTGTAAATGGATTCAATTAAATGAATTCACTGCTATTTTTGGAAATTATTTTGATGAATTTTGATAGATAATTGTAAATGGATTCAGTTGAATGCATTCACTGCTGTTTTTAAAAATTATTTTGAGGAATCATGATAGATGATTGTAAATGGATTTAATTAAATGAATTCACTGCTGTTTTTAAAAATTATCTTGAGGAATTATGATAGATGATTGTAAATGGATTCAATTAAATGAATTCACTGCTGTTTTTGGAAATTATTTTGAGGAATTCTGATAGATGATTATAAATGAATTTAATTAAATGCATTCACTGCTGTTTTTAAAAATTATTTTGAGGAATTATGATAGATGATTGTAAATGGATTCAATTAAATGAATTCACTGCTGTTTTTGGAAATTATTTTGAGGAATTCTGATAGATGATTATAAATGGATTTAATTAAATGCATTCACTGCTGTTTTTAAAAATTATTTTGAGGAATTATGATAGATGATTGTAAATGGATTCAATTAAATGAATTCACTGCTGTTTTTGGAAATTATTTTGAGGAATTCTGATAGATGATTATAAATGGATTCAATTAAATGAATTCACTGCTATTTTTGGAAATTATTTTGATGAATTTTGATAGATAATTGTAAATGGATTCAATTGAATGCATTCACTGCTATTTTTAAAAATTATCTTGAGGAATTATGATAGATGATTGTAAATGGATTCAATTAAATTAATTCACAGCTGTTTTTGGAAATTATTTTGAAAAATTCTGATAGACGATTGTAAATGGATGCAATGAAATTAATTCATTACTGTGTTTAGACTCTGAATTTCATGATTATTTGTTTAATGTAATCTCTTCTCAGCCCGAACGTATAGATCCTCAACGAGCACGTGGCTACGACGTAAGGAGTGACGTCTGGTCACTGGGAATCACTCTGATGGAAGTTGCCACCGGGTATTTTCCATATCCAAAGTGGAATTCTGTTTTTGAACAGCTTTATCAGGTTGTTCAGGGAGATCCACCGAGACTGTCACCCAATGGCAATGGCAATCATTTCACTGCTGAGTTTGTCAACTTTGTTAATACATGGTGAGTTGGGAGTGAAGTCATTGAAAACAAAATCTATACTCTGAATGGTTTATGACATCATACATGAAGCAGCAAAGGTCAGATTTCTGGAATTTACAACAATTTGCAGCGATGAATTAATAAGTGCATTTTGCATTAATGTGCATTTTAATAAAACAAAACAATCGGAGAAAATTTACTCAAATATATTTTTATAGATTCTGAATTATTCAATTTATCAATACCACTTCATGAAAAATTTTGAAAAAAATGGTTTCAAACATTTCTATGTAAATAATGAAAATTGTCGAAAACAATTGAATACATGAATTGATAAATTAACAAAGGGATTTTGGATTAAAGCGCATTTCAATAAAACAAGACAATTAGGGAGAATTTACTTAAATATATTTTTATAGATTTTTAATCATTCAATTTATCACTAAAACTTCACGAGAAATTAAAAAAAAAATTGTTTCAAACATTTCCATGCAAATAATGAAAATTGTCTAAAACCATTGAATACATGAATTGATAAATTAACAAATGGATTTTGGATTAAAAAGCATTTTAGTAAAACAAGACAATCAGGGAGAATTTACTCAAATATACTTTTATATATTTTTAATAATTAATTTTATCAATCAAACATCATCAAAAAAAATTTGAAAAAAAATTGCCTTGAACATTTCCATATAAATAATGAAAATTGTCTAAAATTGCATACATGAATTGACGAATTAACAAATGCATTTCGAATTAATCTACAGTTTAATAAAAGAGGAGAATCAGCGTCCAAAGTACAACAAACTCCTGGAGCACCCCTTCATTCGTAGATCAGAGGAGAGTCAGGTTGATGTTGCAGCATACATCGGTGGAATATTAGACAATATGGCTAACAACGGTGTTACGCCTTTCACGACCAATCAGCCTTAAATCCACGGTATCGAGTGATGAGTAATTAATTATTGAAAATTCGTAAGCGTTAGATACATTGCAAAATTAATGGGCTGTAACCATCTAGCGTGCTTAGAGTCCATTCGTTGTCCCGCTTTAGAGACTGTACCGTCGTCGTGTCGTGTCCTCAATTAAAAAATGAAATTACTGAAGAAAGATAAAGAATAATTATGAGAATAATAAATTGATGGTGGAGCTAAGGAGTTCTGAATTACAAGAAATACTCGTATTTTATAGCGGGTAGAGGGTGATTTTTATGCCCGCGTAGAGAAATCAAGTGGACACTGGGGTTTTTATTCATGGCAATGAGTCCCATGATCTGGATGATTACGGAATATGAGTTAATGAGTGATAATAAATTAGTGGAAATTGTAAATATGCTGTTGGCAAGACCAGATCATTTCCAATTCACGGAAATTATTCACTTTCCATAATTTATCTGTAGGTTTTAATTGTCTTTTTAAACAGGTGATCATGTTCCATTGAAATCATTATTTTTTAAACATTTTTTTCTCTGCATTTTCCTTCATGCTCGTGGGACATTGTTGCTGTGATTAAAACAATTGTAAAATTTTTTCCTACAGATGATAAATAGGACCTGGAAAACTTTGCTTTTAATCACATTTTAAATGATAATTAAATTTAATATAAATACCTCGGAAGAGAATGATTTAGTGCCAGTTGAGGGTGTGCAATCGATAACTCATGATTATTGACAATTTCGAAATAACTCATGCAATTTCTAGTGATCGATGGATTAAAAATAGACAAATTTCAACTGTTGAGTGTATACCCTCAATGTTAACGTGATAATTTTGTCACAATTATTGAGCACGAGATGAATCATTTCACGTTTTATAAAGAGTTGATAGTGTAATGGATCCCAGATGCATAGATAATTATACGAATTTTATTTACATTATTATTATTTTCGCCAATAATTAGTACAAAGTACTTGAAAACTTTTGATCATTGTGGCGAGTTATTTGCAGAGATATGCTTATTACCGATGTTGAATAAATGAGAATGAAGAAAATATACTGTAATGTAAGTGATAATAAATACCTGAATATTGATTATGGATTGACTCGTTATTATATCCTTCTGTTCTTTTATTTATTGTTATTTGAAAAGGACCGCATAATTAAGTTGGTGGTTCGTTGCGTTTTTTATTCTTTCATTTATTTTTGGAAATGATAAGAGTAAAAATAAACGATCAAAGGATATATAGTTTGATGTCACATTTGTATCACGACTTTGCCGATCGAATTCTTCTCTATTTCTCACTAAATAATTGCTTCATATCACAAGATAGTTAGATTAAGCCGTAAAGTATCTAGAAGACCGGGTTATTGCTGAATATAAATAACAAAAATTTAATTAGAAAATATCTTTTTTCAAATTTGCCATCTAAATCGCGTGAGAAAAATAGAAAAAATCAGGAATATTCAGCGTCGTTAAATTACATCTTGCACAGAATGATAATTTTTTTAACGTTCGTTGTTTTTAAATAAATAATTTAAATTGTTTAAAATTTCGGAAAACTTTTCAGGCATGAAATCGATTTCTGGTAAAATTCTGAATATGAATAAATTCGTTACGATTCCGAACAAATGATTTTTATGGTGAAAAATTTATTGTTTTTAAATGATTTATAGAACATGCTCGTAATTAAAAAAGAATTCCAATTTTTTAATTATTTCATCTTCATTAGATATTTCTTCTTTCAAAAGGAAACCTTCTATTTTTTTATAGATTTTTTAAATGTTTTCTAACGGTTCAATATCGAGATTCAAATTTAGACCTGCAATGCTTAAATAATAAAATCATTGTACAAGGTCAGGAAACTCGGAGTGAAATGGTCTCAAATGAAAGCTCTCATGTTCAATTACAAAGGCAGAAAAGTATTTCACTGGAGAAAAAATAGCCAAAGTACTTGGATGTCCTTAAAGTTATCCCTCGCGAAATCACGGATGAAAAAATTTAATAGAAAAACCTATCGAATTCGTTAGAAAATTCTATTGACTTTCTATTGAACTGTTCTATTAATTTTTGGCCAATTCTATTGAGATATTTTCTGTAGAATTTCCTCGGCTCAAATTTTCCAAGTTTTTTCGTTTTATTTTTTTGATGAGAAGAAACGAAAAATAGAATGAAAAAAACTTGGAAAATTTGAGTCGAGTAAATTCTACAGAAAATATATGAAAAGAATAAGTTATATAAAAAAATCGAATTAAGTTGACTTTTTCTATTGAATGTTTTCTGTTGAACATGTCAATAGAATCAGTCAAAAACTAATAGAAAGTTTAATAGAAATTAAATAGAATTTTCCAACGAATGCAAAAGGTTTTTCTATTAAATTTTTTCGTGCTATTCTGCGACGTTTCTCTAATTAACCACTTGTTTTATAAAAGATTATTTTATAACTTACATCACACATTTCACAATTACAATTAAAACCGAAAGAAAAAAAAATTCAATAAAAAAACTCAATACAATTCTCCCATTCAGTACTGCACCCCTCCGCAACTCTTTTTTTCCACTTCACTTTCTGAAAAAATTATCTACCTCGTTGCGGGCCCTTTCCATGCAGAGCAGAAATAAAAAACTGAAGGAGGGTCGACGCCCAAGCACCGTGACGGCAATCTGCGGGTCCAGGTGGTCGCAGATAACTGAAACAAGAAAAACTGAAATAAAAATGAATGAGGAAGCGACCAAGTTTCATTCACATTTCGATGTTTTATTCCGGAGAACTAGTTTCGGGGGGTTTATTACGTTATAATTTAGCCGTGGGTCTCAGCTGGTGATGCATAATGATTGTGGGTAACCTGTCGTCGTGATGTTGGGCATTGATAGCCCCCGTACCTCGTACCTGTTCCCAGGTGCGGGGGAATATGGCCGGTTGGGGCATGGCGCGACCGGAGGGGTCGAACGCTCAGTGACTGAGGGGATGGTGGTAACAACGCACGTTCCAACAGCCGCTCTTTCAACAATCCACTTGACACTGTGAGCTTAATATTCCAATCGTTATTTTAACTCGACAATCCAGAAAAGACTCGTCTTCTCCCTCCGGAATTTATGATTATTTTATTTTCCTCTCGTGAAGTGGCTCGAGGAAATTTCCAGAGTGGAATTCCCAGGTCTGGAGATTCCATCGGAGGATAAAATAAAATATCAGGTGCGTATTGCCCCCAGATCCCGCGAATGGCGATGGACATTCGAGTTTTTCGTATTTGGGGGGATTTTTTTTTTAATTCCTCGGGAAAAAGCCACTGGTCAACGCTGCTACAGCTCAGGGGTTGAATCAATTCTCCTGAATAATTTATAACATCGTCGGACGCTATAGTTGGACGCACCGAGTCTATATCCGGCTGTTAACGGTCGTATTATTGATAATAACCGAGTGTCTTTGGCTCTAGGTCTGTCCAGTTAAATAAGTCCACATCATCCCTGTGGCTGTGACCTATTGCCGTTTTCCTCTGGGGTAAATATAAAGCTGACCTGGCCACCACGTGCGTCAAGGAAAAACTGTAATGGGGGGTGGACTTTTGCGCCGTTCGCCAATTGCGTATTCTGCCCGGCGGGTGTGTGTTCGGGGGAAAATTCGCCCTTGGGAAGATCACACTGAGAGAAAAATATATTTCTTCTGACTATATTCCATCACCGTCGAATTATAGTCAAAAAGTCCTCAACAATTTTTCATGGGTTACGGTAACTATGACCGGAGAAGTAATTACTACAATGGAATGTAGTCATTGTAACTATTTTATAGTTCTCCTCACGATAGATTTGTCGTGGTTACTTTCGAACTTTGGTTAGTTTAACTGCATTTTTATTTGCAAAAATTACGCTTGTGAAGTTACTATAATGTTATGTGCCGCATACAAAAAAAATCGTATCGTTCACCAAAATGCCTCAACTATTTTCTTATTGTAAATCGAACTTGAGATTTTTCTATCAGCGCAGTGGAATATGTGGGCAGGGGGATGTGGGATGGCGATCAAGGGGGCGAGGTGGCCGGGAAAATTACGGGGAAATGATTTTGTGGGGAATATTGGGGGAACAGCGAATTGATTGGGGCTTGACGCCGCAGGTTGATGGGGGTGAGTCACACGCTGATCGCCAGATAGCGGTGGGTGATGCACGGAGGAATATTTCTGGGTAACTATCCCTGACGTTCGGTGATGTTTCGGGATTTTCGGGGGAAATTGATGCGTCGGGATTCGCTGAAAAATCGCCGCTGTTTGAATTAATTTTTAGGGAATTTCACGGAAAAATCAGGTTTTACTCCATGAAATTTAGAGAACTGAAAAGGAAAATAAATTTCCGCTCAGTATTTTTATGAGGAAATTATTGAAAGGGCATTTTGCCTCATTTTTACGTTTTGGTTGTCACGAAGTTTTTCCTCTGTGTGGGATTTTTTGGAAAAAAGGCAGGTGATACACGGAGGAAAATTTTTGGAAATACTCCTGACGTTTAGTAATAATATAACAACGTTTCGGGATTTTCTAAAATTGGGAGAAAATTGGGATTTATTGCTCGTGATGCGCAGAAAAATCGCAGTTGTCTGAGCGAATTTTTATGGGATTTCACGTCAAAATTACGTTTCACTTCATAAAATTTAGAAAACTCAAAAGGAAAATCAATATTTGCCCAGTATTTTCATATGAAAATTCTTAAAAGGGCATTTTGCATCAATTTTAGGTTTTGTTACGTAATTTTTTCTGAATTTGTCCTCCGCATGGGATTTTTTTGAAAAAATTCTAGTATAAAATTGAATAATTTTAGTAAGAGTCATAAAATTTTTGATAAAAATCCACGAGAATCCTGAGTTTTTAAGAAGAGAATATTTTTTGGAAATTTTTACTCTGATTTTTACTCTTATTATTTTAATCATTCGCCTATTCTAGTGGAATTTTTACCAAAAATCGAGTAAAATATGTGTTAACGCGAAAAAATTTTCATGTAAAAATCATTAAAAGTGTAGAAATTTTCACATAAAAAAATCCAATTGTACTACTTACTGTATTTTTCGCCAGAATTTTTGATAGAAATTTTTACAAAGCCACCATTTCTGCAATTTAGGAGTGAATTTTCATATGAATTTCTCTCCATAGGGTCCGAAAAAAAGGTTCTACCCGGAAAGCGGATATTCCCAGAAAATTATTGATCGTCGAAAACCCTTCGCTCGACAAACCCCATGCATTTCACCTAAAAACAGATTTTTTTTTAATGTTTACAAACGAAATCGAGTCAGATATGCGTTAAGAAGAAAAAAATAAAAATATTTCAGGTATAAATCGTCTGAGAATTAAGTAATTTTCCTCTAAAAAATTTCTATTCTTACAATTTATCGCGTGCTTTACTAAATTTTTCGATAAGAATTTTTCTTAAGCCCCGATTTCGAAAATTCAGGGGTGAGTTCTTACATAAATTACTCTTTCTGTGATTCAACAGAGGGTTTTATCCAAAGCCCTGTCATCCCCAGAAGATTATTGATCATTTTATCCAGGAATAGGATATTTGTGTGGGATTTTTCCCAAAAACTGCAATAAAATATGTGATATATAATAAAAATTGCGTAATTTTTACTTAAAAAATTTCTATTTTTACAATTGATCGCATTCTTACTAGACTTTCGATAAAAAAAATTCTGAAGCCAGAATTAAGTGGTGAATTCCTGCATGAATTACTCTTTCTGTGGTCCAACAAAGGGTTTAATCAAAAGCCCTGACACCCCACAAGATTATTGATCCTCGAAAAACCTGTCTTCCCGAGCCCAAAGCATTTTACCGAAGCTCCAAAATGGCGCGCCGATAATTGGATTTTTCAGAGGGACCCGAGTGACCGGGGGATCTCTACACATATCCTCCCTGCGTTAAAAACCCTCCGACCAATGATAGTGAAGCTCTCCGGCTATCTCCCACACTATTCGTGTCTCCTGGCGTGTCGAGTGGACGGGGCGTTTTTCCCCTTCTGATCATCCAGAGGCGGTTCTCCCTACCTCCCACGTCGATAAATGGACGCTGGAGGGTAGCCAAAGATCCCCGACATCATGGTCTTCATTTTTTTTTCTCAAAATTATTCTTCACGCTTGTGGTTTCGCCCCGAGGGCTCGGTGGGGGGCTCATTGCGCGTGTTGGGACACGTGCCGAGACATCCGGCTCACCTGGGGACCCTTTATTACCCCCAAGAAATGATAATAAGACGGACGAAATCATCCCTCCGTGACACGTTTTAATGCACGTGAAAACATTTGTTAGGCACAATGTGTTACGGATAAATATGTAATGGCTTGACCCAGTGACGCATGCTGAAAATTCCAGGCGTCGTGGCTCATCGTGGGGGCCTCAAACGATCGATCCTCGGTGCTATACCACCACACCAAGTTCGATGGGCAAATTGTTCAGGCATTTGCAGTCGTGTCATTGGAATTTTTGCACTTTCCAACGAAGTTGGTGAGGTTTTTATTGATTTCCCACTGTCCTTGCACTTGGAGTTATCATCTTTGATCGGGGATACAATTAATTCATGGGTAATTGAGGACTTGTCGGGGAATAATGCATCGACAGGCCGGGCAATAGAAATGTCACAAGGAAATTGAATCACTCGTGATTTTTTAAGTGGTGCAATTTCATAGGCTGTTAGAAAATTACTCTTGAAATTTTTAAGAACACGGAGAGGAATATTCAGTAAAAATTACGGAACAATTCACGTAATCCGCAACGGAGAATCGTTTTCCGGCAATTTTTATAGGAATGGAAGAGAAGAAATCTGAAACGTTCAGTGAATTTTCGGGTTCATCACCGAACAAAGTACGAAATTGTCACGTAATTTTTCCCGAAGAAGTAAAATCTTACAGAAACTTGCCGACTTATTGTGCCTCTAAAATCAAAAATTCTTGAACGTTCAACAATTTTTATGAAGCTGGTGAGTTATTTCTACGTTCCGTTCCGTAAAATTTCTCAATCGTTGGGGAAAAATTACGGAACGACTTGTTGTCCCCACAGCGGTGAGTCATCAGACGGCTGGTTAATTTTTACGGAACAAATCGTAGAATTTACGTGGCGATTCGTACAATTTCAGTTCCGACTCACACTTTTTATTGAATTATACTTCGCTCGCGGATTACGTTTCGAAACGTAATTTTTACGTTTTTTTTCTGGTAATTTTTATTGAATTTTTCACTCCGTGAACGACAAAGTTACATGAAATTTCTGGGAAATTGTTCATTGAGGAATCAATTAATTCCTTGGATATTCAAGGAATTCTCGATTTTCAGGTCCATACGGCACGAAAAAAACTTGAAATTTTTGAAAATTCAGGCAATGATTTCTCTGGATTTTCAATTCAGTAGTGCAGTGGTAAAACGGTATAAGTTAATTTTGACTATTGACCAGTTTTCAATTAATATCTCGGAATCTAAGGGAGATAGTAAAATTTTTATTATAACTTTTTTGTAGAGCCGACTGAGAGCTACAACAAATCTAATTACGAAAATTTCCCTATCTCCCTTAAATTTGGAAATATTCCTCAAAAACTCAACTAGGAGATAAGTCGACTTAAACCGTTTTACCACTTCGCTACTGAATTTATTGAAAATTGAATTGTATGTGATGTTCAATTTTCACGATGAGTTGGGAAATTGAAGCTTTCATTGAAAATCAATGATTCTTTAACATGAAAAACTCAATTTTCGTGAATTTTCAAGATGAATGAGGAATTTAGTAAACGTTTTCATTTGAAATTGAATTCAAACTCACAACGTTGATAATTCAGATGACATTGTGACTGAAATTTCAAGAAATTTCTGACAGTGTATATCAAGGCTCAGCTTAAAATCTGAAAAAAATGCATAATTATTATTGTTGAAACATTAAAAATTTGTGGAATTTCGCCCAGTCGCTCCCGAGTAATTGACATCTAAAAATTATTCATTGAAAAATGCCATAAAATAGCCTCAACTCAATTATCAATATCTCCCGACCTCATGCTGCAATTTCGATAAATCGAGGCTCATTTTAAGCTCTAAAAAAACTCCTCCAAAATGAAAAAAAAAATCGTGGAATTTCGCCCAGTCGCTCCCGAGTAATCGACATCTAAAAATTATTCATTGAAGAATCGAAATCATCTGGAAGTAAAAATGCTATAAAATAGCCTCAACTCAATTATCAATATCTCCCGACCTCATGCTGCAATTTCGATAAATCGAGGCTCATTTTAAGCTCTAAAAAAACTCCTCCAAAATGAAAAAAAAAATTGTGGGATTTCGCCCAGTCGCTCCCGAGTAATCGACATCTAAAAATTATTCATTGAAGAATCGAAAACATCTGGAAGTAAAAATGCCATAAAATAGCCTCAAATCAATTATCAATATCTCCCGACCTCATGTTGCGATTTCGATAGATCAATGTTCATTTTAAACTCCGAAAAAACCCCTCCAAAATGAAAGAGAAATTGTCGACCTTCCCTCAGTGGCTCCTGAGTGACGAAACTTTAAATACGGTCCATGAAAAAATGGAAAATATCGGGGAATGCAGGTAGTGGACAGTTGCGTGGCGTCAACGGGACTCGGGGGTTCGAGTGAGCGTGTCTGGGCTGCCGGGTGTACAGAGTCCACCTGCGAAAGAACGTAGCACCTGTCGGCGACGCCGCACGCGCACCTCCCCCAGTGCGCCAGGGGGGGATCGCCCGAGTATAGAGAATTACGTCTACAGTGGATAGCCACCCTACGCTCGACGCCCCTCGTCGGTCAGCCAAAGAGACCTTTTCAGTTGGCCCTGTGCATCGAGAGTTGTTGAGCGTTTTTTTTTTCAAGTCCACGTCAGTCTTTTTGGAGCGTTCGATCGGGCAGTTCTTTCGCTTGGCTTCAGGTCCGGACATTTCGATCGGTCGGGGGTGCTAATGGGGCTGTGAATGATGTCTAATCTGCAGTCGACATTTTATTTGCAGAGATTCTGGGTTATGAGGAGGGAGAGGGAGTGAAATATGAAGGGGGAGAGGGCTGTTAGTAATTCGGACCATGTGGCGTCTTCCAACTACTTGGAGAACATGGAGACAGATGGCTTTGGGGTTGAGGCGGAATTGACGAGTCTCTCGTGGCTGCAGTCACTGGACATTACTAGTGCGTCAAGCCTACCTACGCCACCATGTTCACCATCGCCACCACCACCGGTCGTCCGACGACCGCCGAAGAAAATGTCACCACTTCTCAAAGCTGAAATCGGTTAGTCTGACAGCAGCTCATGCTTATCTCCTGATTTTCGGTGCGCGGAGATTGACGAATGAATATTTCACACTGTTGGAAAATTACTCTTGAAATTTCAAGTGAAAATGCTTGAAATTTTTAACAACGACAAAGTTACATGAAATTTCTGGGGAATTGTTCATTGAGGAATCAGTTAATTTCTTGGATTTTCAAGGAATTCTCGATTTTCAGGTCCATACGGCACTGAAAATCCTTGAAAATTTTGAAAATTCAGACAATAACTTCTCTGAATTCCCAATTTATTGAAAATTGAATTGTATGTTCAATTTTCACGATGAGTTTGGAAATTCAAGCTGTCATTGAAAAATCAATGATTCTTTGACATGAAAAACCTAATTTTCTTGAATTTTCAAGATGAATGAGAAATTTAGTAAACGTTCTCATTTGAAATTGAATTCAAACTCATAACATTGAAAATTCAGATGACACTGTGACTGAAATTTCAAGAAATTTCTAACAGTGCAGTAGCGATGTGGTAAAACAGTTTAAAGTAGCTCTACCCTTACGGTACATTCAAAGATTATTGAAAACTGGAAAAAATTGCAGAAAACTCGAGTAGATTCGGAATCCTAATTTTATTCTCGATTTAATTATCGTTTTGGTTTTTCTAACGGAAATGTTTACAAATCAGGATTTAACCCGGTGTCTTAGGCGAAAATCAACATTTCCATTGTAATTAAAGATTAAAATCTGATTTTTTTTTCATTAGATGTGAAAAAATCAAGAATTTGTTTGACACCTCATAAAAAATAATCCACCGTTTTGCAAACAAGTTTTATTATTTATTTGTAAGAGGGAAATGTTTTAAAAAATGTCAATATTTTGCGAAATTTAATTTAGATAAAACTGACTGGATATGATTTTTTTTTAAATTTTTCCCATGCACTTTAATTGAGAAATCCGAAAACTGAAAATATCCAAAAGTGCAGCGTAGCCCGGTCGAAGGGTAGAGCTACTTTAAGGGAAAACGGAACCCCTGCGTTTATATGAATCTTTAGAATTGTGTTTTCTCCTGCAATTATTATTTTTTATTCATTAAACTACTTCATTGACTCAACAATGCGACAATCGAGTCGATAAAGTATTCATTTCACAATTGTAAGATTTGATGTAGACAAAGGGGTTCCGTCTCCTCTTAAGTCGACTTTCTCCCAGTTGAGTTTTTGAGGAATATTTCCGAATCTAAGGGAGATAGCGAAATTTTCGTAATTATATTTGTTGTAGCTCTCAATTGGCTCTACAAAAAAGGTTTTTACAAAAAATTTGGTATCTACCTTAGATTCCGAGATATTCATTGAAAACTGGCCAATAGTCAAAATTAACTTAAATCGTTTTACCACTTCGCTGCTGATTTTACATATGAAACTACTTCATCGACCCCATCATTGCATTATAGAGTTAATGAAGTAGTTTCATATATAAAAAATAATAATTGCAGGTGCAAAAACAATTCTAAACGTTGATATAGACACAGGGGTTCCATTTCCATTTCTGTTTTGATTTCCGTTTCCGTTTCTGTTTTGATTGAATACGAATGTAAATTTACAAAAGGTTGTCTCTGAATTTATAATTATATTATTCGTATGAGATATGGATGATCGGGTGATAATAATTGTGAAATGCTCTTGGGAATAGACCTGGCTGAGAATGCTGAGAAATATCAGACAGATCCAGATGCTAAGCCACCGTTTTCCTACGCAACTTTAATCTGCCTCGCCATGCGGGCTCACAACAACAAACTCACCCTCTCCAATATTTATGCGTGGATAAGAGAGCACTTCATGTATTATAGGAATGCTGATCCGGCGTGGCAGGTAAATGACCGTGAAATTTAATTTCAGTTGTCATATATCATATTGTGGGTGGGGAAAATTTTCAAGACATTTTCAAGAATTATTTTTATGTTTTTTGACAGTTCCACGGATTTCCCAAGGAATTTCGTCATTGAAAATTCACAATTTGACGAGAAAATAAACGGAAATAGTAAATTATAGTTGAATTATTCCACGAAAACCAATGGAACTCTCAAAAACTCTAGTAAATATATTCTTAGAACTTCAATTAATTGAAAATTCAAGTGAATTGGGGACTTATTGTGATAAAAATATTGAAAATCAACTCAATTTTCATGAAATTTCACCATTTTTACCCCGCAAACGATTTTTATTCTAAAATCACCCATTATAATAATACGACTTTAGGAAAAAATATTACGATTTTTTTAGAATTCAATTCGATACAATTTATCCTTCAACAAATGCGTTGCGAAATTGCCACGCATGTTAATCGGGTCAAGTCGATTTTGACTTTTATTCAGTTTTTGATGAATATCTCGGAATCTAAAAGAGATAGCAAAATTTTTCTCACGACCTTTTTTGTCGGTTCAATTGAGGATGATAAAAAAGGCTACAACAAAAATTTTTCTACCTCTTTTAGATTCCGAGATATTTGTGAAAAACTGGTCAATAGTCAAAATCGACTGAACCCGGTTCACCGTTTCGCTACTGAATTGTAAATTATAGTTTAATTATTCCACAAAAAACAGTAGAACTCCGGAAAATTCTAGTAAATCTATTCTTGAAATTTCAATTATTTGAAAAGTCAGTAAACCAGAGAATAATTCAGTAGCAAAGCAGTAAACCGGGTCAAGTCGATTTTCACTTTTGGTCAGTTTTTGATGGATATCTCGCAATCTAAGAGAGATAGCAAAATTTTTCTCATCACCTTTTTTATAACCCTCAATTGGCCCTAGAAAAAAGGTCGTGGCAAAAATTATTCTATCTCTTTTAGATTCTGAGATATTCGTGAAAAACTGGTCAATAAAAAGAAGTCAAAATCGACTTGACCGGGTTTATCGCTTCGCTATTGAACGATGCTCAAAAAATGAAATTCGATTCAATTTTCAGTTAAATTTCACCATTTTTACCCCTCAAACGATTTTTATTCTAAAATCACTCACAACAATACAACTATAGAAAAAAATTTTACAATTTTTTTTAGAATTCAATCCGACACAATTTATCCCTCAATAAGTGTTTCGTGAAACTGCCGCGATCGAAGGATGAGCCTGGCAAAGGTGGCTTCTGGAAGCTGGATCTGGAGAGATTAGAGGAGGGTAAGAGGACCAGAAGACGACCCGCAACATCGCGCTACAGTCGCCCGAGGAAAAACGAGAGTGAACCCGCTCCCGCGAAGAACTCCAACCCAACACTGTACGAGACACCCCCGAGCAGCGTTTCCCCACCGATTCCGGACAGCCTACCGGAGGTGCCTGAATCCACTCAAGTGAGCTTAACGGAGGACGACCTCACGGGTCTGCTCATCGCGACTGTCGGATGGGACGAGAACCAGCTCGATCTCCTCGATTCCCTCCTGGACTCTTTGTAAATTCTTTTTGAGGAACACTATTTCGTCTTTTCGAGTGATTGAAGGAACATTGGAGGCTCATTAACCCAAAGATTAATATTACATTATCAGTAGTTTCAGACCAATCAGCGTGATGCCTAGGAAATTTACGTCCTACTTTAACTGTTCTTTCGATAAGTTGAATATTTTTTGACATTTGACAATTCAGAGAATGCATTCGAAATGTGCCTTTGAAATTGGAAAAATTGTAGATTATTGTTGAAATAGATATATATCTCAGTAGCGAAGTGACCAATAATTTCACATTCAACCATTTTGTGATTGTTAAATCATTTGATTAATTAATTTAATTATAAAATGTCGATTAATGCAGTAGTGAAGTTGGCAAACGGTTCAAGTCAATTCCATTCTAGCGCCAGTTCTCGATGCACATCTTAAATTCTAAAAGAGTTAGGAAAATTTTCCTGAAAATCTTTTTTGTAAAGAAAATCGAAGACTACACTGAGAGAAAAACGACAATGTTCTCAAACAAGTGTTACTTGCGCCAAGAAAATATTTTTTTGAAAATTATCAAAAAAGGTTTTTTTGTGCCAAACATGCAGAGAGTGCGCTGGAATGAAAAATTTTTGTCGCAAAAATAGATTTAGTAGTTTAAAAAAAACTGCATTCTCTATACACGCAAGAAATGTGATTTCTAGCACTACTCCTTCGTTATTCGATACTCCCATACGTATTTTGCTCCCGAAAAATCTTTGTTTTATGCAAAACAGGGGATAGTAGGTTTTCGTTTCGGCTGTCTAATAATCACAGACAAGAAATGAACCCTTAAAAGAAACAATAATAATGATATTATAGCAATCTTGTAACTTAGGGATAAAATATTTGTTGATAAATTTTCCCCTGTATGAGATATTTTCATCCTGAAAAGGCACTGTCTGGTGTGAATTATCCGCCTCTTGAGCCAAATATTTTGTTGCTGTCAAAAGCAGAAGGATTATTCATGTTTGAAACTTTCAATTTCGAACCAAACAAATTCTTTTTTGGCAATTTTCAACGAGCGATTTTGTTGGCCCAAACAAGACTTGTTTGACAACGTGTTTGTTTTTCTCTCAGTGTACCGAAAAAGATCTTTCAAAAATTTCGCTATCTTTCTTAAATTCCGAGTTATTCAACAAAAATTCAACTGGGAGCTGAGACTTCACTACTGAACTGACTTTTGATAATCAAATTATCAGGCGAATTCGGTATTTATTAAAGTAGCGCTACCCTTCGGCCGGGCTCCACTGTACTTTTGGATATTTTCAGTTTTTAAATTTTTTAACTAAATTGCATGGAAAATTTTTTTAAAAAATTCATACCCAGTCAGTATTATCTAAATTAAATTTCGCAAAATATTGATATTTTTTCAAACATCACCCTCTTATAAATAACTAATAAAACTTAATTGCAAAATAGTGGATTATTTTTTATGAGGTGTCAAAAAAATTCTTGATTTTTTCACATCTGATGAAAAAAAATTCAGATTTTAATCTTTGATTGCAATGGAAATGTTGATTTTCACATAAGACACTGGGTTAAATCCTGATTCTTAAACATTTCATCTTTGAAAAACCAAAACGATAATTAAATTGAGAAAAAAATTGGAATTCCGAATCTAATCGAGTTTTCTGCAATTTTTTCGCAGATTTCAATAATCTTTGAATTTACCGTAAGGGTATCGCTACTTTAATTCATTCTCAGTGAAATTATTTAAATATTGAGTAAAATTCATCATCACTTCGCTAATGATTACATTTCGGTATAATTACGGCCAACATGTTGCTGTAAATACGTTATTTACATTCTTTTATTCCTTATTTTATTTGTTAAAGACCAGAGCAAACTGAGCATATAGAATCAAAAATAACTGTAGAAAATCTGGAAGAGTTTTAAAATGATCTTATTTAGGGATAAGGATTTAATTAATTATGTTTTGCGGATCATTTGCAGTTGTTTCCAATTGTATAAATAGCTAATCGCAACTACTTACGTTCCACCACGATTACTACCATCAGTGTGATACGATGATTTTGGTTGAGTGTGTTTTGCTCTTGATTGAAAATGCCTTTCAAATATCCGTCCAATTAGACATGAGATTTAATGTATGATATACAACAAATGAAAGAGTTCCCTCGAACCTTTCACATTCGATTGGAGTGTGGAAATAGTCAGTAAAGATTATTTATAAATAAAATATATAAGAGTGCCTCGCGTTCCATTGTATCTCCATTTCTCTTGTACTATATGATATATTTATTAATTGATTATTTGTATTGTTAGTAAACACGTAATAATAATGATATGCAATTAACAGGCGATTGATTACTTATGGCCATGATTTTTTTTTTATAATTCTTTTATTTCTCGGGGTGAAGTGCACATTTTTCACTCGCAGAGCTTTTTCCCGTCTTTCGAAGCATAGAGGACATCTGGCCCATTAGCTCAGTTGGTTAGAGCGTCGTGCTAATAACGCGAAGGTCGCGGGTTCGATCCCCTCATGGGCCAATTTTTTTGTTTCTGCAACGTTAATTTATTTATTATACAGTTAAACAAATTGAAATGAGGAAAAAAAGACGATTTGGAATGTATTGGTTAAGATTTTTGCAGTGTGAAAATTTTTGTCTGCCCACGTGCATCCTTTTCTACTGCCTCATTTTGAAATGTTTTACCACTTGTTGATAATGCTTACTATTCTAATGAACTACTCTTCGGAAAAAATATTTTTGCTGATGGGAAAAAATCCTCTGTCCACGCGTGTCCAGTTCTACTTTTTAAAGACTATGTGAAAGAATTGAAAAAAATTATTGAACAGGTGATTTGAAATGTATAAGTCGTTATTGTTGCGAGTAGAAACTTTTCGTCTTTCTACATACGTCCAATTCTACTGTTTCATTTTAAAATGCTTTACCACTGGTCGATAATACTTCAATGTTTATTTGTACAAATCTGAAAAAATCGTCTGACCAGGAGTGTCCATTTCTACTTTTAAAGAGTGTGTTAAAGAATTAAAAAAAGAATCTCAACAGGCGCTTCGTTAGAGAAACGTTTTGTCTGTCCACGTCCGCCTATTTCCACTGTTTCATTTTATAATGCTTTACCATTTGTTGATAATACTTCAGCTGAGCACTATTTTGAGACTATTTTTGCTGATTAAAAAATTGTCTGTCCACGCGTGTCCATTTCTACTTTTAAAAGAGGATGTGAAAGAATTGAACAAACTATCTGAACAGATGATTTGTAATTTATAAGTCATTATTTTTGCTAATAGAAACTTTTTGTCTGTGCAGATATGTCTATTTCCACTGTTTCATTTTAAAATGTTTTATCACTTGTTGATAATACTTCAATTAGTGACCATTCTAAGACTATTTTTTGTTTATAAAACAATTGTCTGTCCACGCGTGTTCATTTCTACTTTTAAAGAGTGTGTTAAAGAATTGAAAAAACTATCTGAACAGATGATTTGGAATGTGTAAGTCACTATTTTTGCGAATACAAATTTGTTGTCTGTCCACATACGTCCATTTCCACTGTTTCATTTTAAAATGCTTTACCATTGGTTGATAATACTTCAAGTTATGTGTACAAATCGGAAAAAAATCTCGTCTGTCAACGAGTGTCCATTTCTACTTTTTAAAGCATGTGTTGAAGAATTGAAATAATATCTGAATAGATGATTTGAAATGTATAAGTCATTATTGTTGCAAATAAAAGCTTTTTGTCTGTCCACATACGTCAATCTCCACTGTTTCATTTTAAAATGCGTTACCACTTGTTGATAATACTTCAGCTAGTCACTACGGCTATTTCTCCCGATAGGAAAAATTCGTCTGTCCATCGTGTCCATTTATACTTTTAAAGAGTGTATTAAAGAATTGAAAAAAACTATCTGAATAGGTTATTCAAAATTTGTAAATCACTATTTTTGTGAAGAGAAAATTCTTGTCTGTCTACATACGTCTACTTCCACTATTTCATTTTTAAGTGCTTTACTACTTGATGAAGATATTTCAATGCCTATTTGTACAAATCTGAAAAAATCGTCTGTCCATGTTTGGCCATTTCAACCTTTTAAACACTATGTCAAAGAATTGAATAGTATATTTCGTCACTAGGCCGAAAAAATCTTTTATGGTGAATATGAGTTTGCAGCTCGAGCCGAAGGCGAGAGCGGCAATCATATGAGCTAGAAAAGTTTTTTTTGGCCGTATGACGAACAGTATTTTTTGTCATGACCGCCGTAGGCAGAGATTCACGGACGCGGAGCGGAGCGTCCGTGAAGCGCTGCCCCACGGCCGAAATGACAAAAAAAACTATCTAAAGAGGTGATTAAAATGAATAAATCCCTATTTATGTGAATAGAAAATTTTTGTCTGTCCACAGACGCCTACTTCCACTGTTTCATTTTAAAATGCTTCGCCACTTGTTGTTAGTACTTCAGCTAGTCACTACGGCTAATCCTCCCGATAGGAAAAATTCGTCTGTCCACGCGTGTCCATTTCCACTCTTTAGAAAGTCTATTAAAGAATTCAAGATGAATATACCTCACTATTTTTGGGAATAAACTTTTCGTCTGTCCACACATATCTACTTCAACTATTTAATTTTAATATGTTTTACCATTTGTTAATAATAATACAGCTAGTCACTATTCTAAACCGAAAAATTCGTCTGTCGATGCGTGTCCATTTCTACTTTTTCAAATGCGGAAGTCGGCGAAGTAAATCTATCTTGTTATATCCTCCATATCTACCACTTCACTATTGTTGCAAATCTGAAAACATCGTCTGTCCATGTGTGTGAATTTCTACTTCATAAATCAGTAGCTAAGCGGTAACCCGGATCAAGTCGATTTTTATTTTTGGCCAGTTTTTTTATGAATATCTCGGAATCTAAGAGAGATAGCAAAATTTTTCTTATGACTTTTTTGTGACCGTCAATTGGCTCTACAAACAAAGTCATGATAAAAATTCTTCTATCTCTTGTAGATTTCGAGATATTCGTCAAAAACTGGCTAATAGCCAAAATCGACTTAAATCGACTCCGAATTCAGTCCTAGCCCGAATGGGGTGCAGTTGATAAGAGTAAGCCGGCCATGATACCGCAGATACATGAATGAAAGGAGAAATGGGGCGGCTTGTGTAGGTGTCAAACCGAGTAGAAATTCGGTAACACCAAGAAGGAAAAATGAGATAAAAGGAATAACAAAATAAATGACTTGATAAATATTAAAATTTGTCGAATGATTCGATCCATTAAACTGTTTTTTATATCTACGTTCTTAAACTGTAAATTCTGTAATGCCTCTGATCATTACAATGAGTTCATCTGTAATACCTGATATTTTGTACCTTCATAATGCACTTCTTTCTGACGCGTCAACATATTTTTCTAAATGACTCAGAGCGTTTCACTACGCCAAAAGATTATGTTTGCAAATAGAAAAAAAGTCTGTCTATTGATGTTGTTTGTCGCTGTTCTGTTCTGTTATCTGCTCATTATATTTCACTTTCCGCTAATACCGTCCCAGAGTATTCCATTAAACACAGCAAGTATCACAACAAACCGGTTCTTTTATTCAATATGAAGGCATGTGTGGCGCAGTAGACACGCTAAATATGTCCATGGATACCGTGTTACATCAGCATTGCAGTGGATGACGGTTCATAATTTCAAGAGTTTCGACCTTGCGCGCCATTTGAGATAAATTCTGATTCAGTCGTGCCTCAACTGGACTGAATTACTGCCGCAATTCGCATCAGTGCTTTGAAGCCTTCGCCATGTGTAAGACCGTTTATTCAATGGTAAACAAATAATAAATAATGGAGAGCTGGACGATTTATTTCACTATCATCGCGGTACTGTTGGGGCTCTACTATTTCCTACGCAGGAAGAAATTCTTCGAGGAGAATGACATAATACACGAGAGAGGCCTTCCCATCCTTGGGAACATGGGTCCCGTTCTATTCCAACGTATTTCGATCGCTGAAATGGTTAAAAGAATGTACGACATTCACGACAACGCCAAATACGTCGGTTTCTATGATTTTAACAACAGTCCAATAGTGGTTCTACGAGATATAGAAGTGATCAAAAGCGTTGGTGTCAAGCATTTCGATCATTTTGTTGACCGCACGGCCATGGTGGATCCGGAGCAGGAGCCTCTGTTCGGCAACAACTTAGCCGGTCTCAAAGGTAACAAATGGCGGGAGATGAGGAACCTGCTGAGCCCGGCCTTCACCTCCAGCAAGATGAAAGGAATGTTCAAACTCATGTCAGACTGCGCGAAGAATTTCGCGAACCACATTGCGAATGATACCTCATCGAAACCTGTGACGTACAACACGAAAGATGTCTTCGCGCGATACACAACAGACGTGATTGCGACATGTGCCTTCGGTGTCGCAGTAGATTCTATGAAGAATCCGGACAACGATTTTTACGTGCTGGGGAAAAAAGCTAGTGTTTTCCAAGGGTTAGCTTTGCTGAAGATGCAGCTGATGAGGACGTTGCCTTGGGTGACGAAAATCCTGGGGATTCACATTATAGACCCGAAGATTGACAAGTTCTTCGTTGAACTTGTGCAAGGCACGATTGACGCCAGAGACAGGCAGGGAATTGTGCGACCGGATATGATCCAACTGATGATGGAGACGCGGAAGAATAAAGAGGGTGACGGCCCTGTCCTCGATATTCGTGACATGGTGTCGCAGGCGTTTGTATTTTTCTTCGGGGGATTTGACACAACTTCGTCGACCATGTGTTTTGTGGCACATCATATCGCGATTGATCCGGATGTCCAGAGGAAATTGCAGGAGGAAGTTGACGAGGTCTATGAACAGTGCGATCAGAGTGTCACGTACGAAGCGATCAATAACATGAAGTATCTCGATGCTCTCGTGAATGAGTGTCTGAGGATGTACCCGATAGGAGTTGCTCTGGACAGACTCTGCACGAAGGAGTTTGAACTACCCCCGGCATTACCTGGAAAGAAGCCAGTCCTCCTGAAACCGGGGGATCGGGTATGGTTTCCGGTCTATGCACTTCATATGCATCCGGATTACTTCAATGAGCCGGAGAAATTCTATCCGGAGAGGTTTATTGAGGATCCCAAGATGCTCCATTCCTCCGCGTATTTTCCCTTCGGTGTCGGGCCCAGAATGTGCATTGGTAATCGATTCGCGCTGTTGGAGACTAAAGTCCTCATTTTTCATCTCGTTCTCAAGTGCAATCTCAGCATCGGGGAGAAGATGATTCTGCCGTTGGAATTGGATAAGAAGAACCTGGGAATGGCTGCGAAGGGGGGGTTCTGGGTGACAATGGAGCCCAGGAATAAATAGAGAAAAACATCATCATAAATCAATTTGATTTTTTAAAACCTGAGTGCTGGGCAGGTTCAAACATTTCTATTACTTATATTTTTTTAAATTCATGATAGTAATAAATTACCTCCATTCATCTGAGTGGTGAAGAAATATATATTATTGAACTGAATGTAAGTGTTGATATAGATTATTGGAGACATTTCCCTTCGCATATTTTGAGGAAGAGTTCTTCCATAAATGGTAAAATGGCAAAATTTTTGTCATAACCTTTTTTGTAGAGCAAATTAAGAGCTACAAAAAAGGGAATCACAACAATTTCGCTATTTCCCTTAGATTCCGAGATATTTATTGAAAACTGGCCGATAGTCAAAATCGACTTATACTGGTTTACCACTTCGCTACTGACATATTCTGAGAATGATATATTTTACATATGGAATTCGCCTATATTATATATGAAAGTTATATAAAATATAAATTTATATGTTTTATATATATTTTACATAAATTTATATATATTCGATCGGAAAATATATTAAATTGACCTATATTATATTTATTGTTATATATTTTTCACGAGGGTTAGGTCTCAGGAAAAGATTTTGATCATCTCCGACGAATAGAATGCAGTGCGTGGTATTGACACATCACAATGTTGTTTATACTCGTTTTATTCACGTTAAGAATGATAAATAATACTCATCAATTTGAACATTAAGAAATTCCAACGTTTTCCCAGTGGGATAAATAATACATCACCGAAAAAAACACAACTTTTGATCCAATCAACTGATAAAGGCATTCTGGATGTTCATTAATCGCTAAAGTATTTATATTAAGGGCCGCTGATCTCTCGGTACTACATTCACTCGGGAATACTTGCCAATAATTTTCCACAAATTTCGTTTTATTCATGAATAACCGTTGCACATAGGGCGATTGTACAGAGATGCATAATACATAAAGAAGGTGCCTATTTTTATTTCTTAACTTTTTTTTTGGTGGTTGTCATTGTATATTATGATTATGAAGTTTAAACGGGCTGTAAGAAAAACTCTTTCGTGTTCTCACTATTCAATTAATTCATTCGACTATTGGATTTGAGTTTTTTTTTCGCAAGGTCAACTTGGAGAGAACATGGGTAATATTAATGAGGAGTTGCTACAGTGATTTAAGCATTCAATTTGATTCTATTTTTCATTTTTCTTCCCTCTCAATAACAACACGAAAAAGTTTGTCCAGAACACCAAATTCAAAATTTACATTCTCTTTAATTTAATTCTTTGGTCGCCATTTCACAATTGAAAATATTAATTATTTCCATGTTCTTTGTGTACACCCCGTTGTCTCATACGTTCAAAATAAATATTTATTTCAATGTACATATTTTTTTATCATTCAAATTATAATCGATGAACTCTTTATTCATGACGTTATCCATATAAAATTTTTTTTTCATCACGAAATAAATATCCAATTAGACTTAAACCTTCATGATATATTTATTTTTCCCCCCCAACTCCAAGATCTGTGAGTACCATATACAAATGACAAAATGACGATGATTTTAAAAACAAAAATAGGTGAATGAATATTTATATCTCCAGGGCGAATAATATCATTAAGTTAGTACTTTATACGTTACACGCAGTGATAATATACGTATTCTGTAAACTTTATGGATCATTCTGATTTAATTTTTTTTTTCATATCGTGGCACATGTCATTTTGTGTAGTTTATATTTGAAAATTTTTTTTTAAACTACTGTCAATATTTATATATTATTTACCTCCATTCCTTTACATTTCCTCGCAGTAATACCCGTTACAGCAGTTACAGGAGTCTAAATTATTCATTTAAACTAAAATAACTCGATCCAAAAAATGGAAATGAGTTGACACCACTTTCATTAATTATTCAATTGATAGACTTGTCCATTCTTCACCATTTGACTCACATTTTTCATCGTCTGTAATAATAAAATACACATTCATATAATTACAGTATATTCAGTCACTCAAAACCACTTTCGAAATAGATAACTCCCACACGTATGTCCTATCTGCTGTTAATACTTTTAATCCACCATTACCCTCTCGGACTTGTGATATTTACAGTTAATTAGATCGATTAGATGCATATTAATGTGCCATTATAGTCGACTGCAATAATTTGTTTTTAATAAAAAACTTAATTACATTCTTTTTCGTAAATTTATCGAGGATTTGTTTCTTCTACATATGAAAATTACACCTTTTACTTGTTTTTTCTTTCATTCATTCACCAAGATAATCGTTCACATGCGTGGTTACTCACGCACTTTATTTTCTCTCTATATAAAATATATTACATGTACACTTGACTTTTTTTTCACATCGTTATGTCAGTTTAAGTCGTTGCTTATAGCCATGTTAGAATAGTTCATCGTAATTATGTACAAGGGTTTTTATTAATTATGAAAATTTATCGGATACACACGATCGGTTACTGGAGACAATTATAATCATACCGAACAGTCAGAGAAACCGTATTTTCGGTGATAAGAGGGGGTAACACGTACGGAAAAATTTAACGGAAGATCCTAGCGCTTTCGCTGAGAAATTCTATTGAATTTCTGTTGAAATTCTCTGAGAAAGTTCTGTATTTTTTGCGGCAATTCTATTACAAATTTTCATAGAAAAAAAATATGGATTTTGATTTTTCCGTGTAACTAATTCCATTGGGATTAATTCTGTGAGAATTCTTGAACAAGCATTTCTGCAGAAAACTCAGAATCTATTGGCTTTTTTCTATAAAATATCTCTTAATAAAATAACAGGAGTAAACTGCATAAACTTCGATGGAATTGGCGCAAAAAAATGAATTTTTTAATACAATTCCAATAGCCATTTAATAGAATTTTCGAATAAAAGCGTTAGGTTTTTCCATTAAATTTTTTAATACGTGAACTGGTAACCATTGTCAGGTGTAGCCACTGAAGCTCCATTACCAATAATCATTAATCTTAATCAATCTCGATTAGATATTTACATTGCCTCAAATTCATCTCCATTCTAGAAGATCTTACAACTGTTCAACGGTAGATTAATTTTAAGGCATCAATATTCATCTGCATGATTTGAATTTCATACAGAGTATTACTTCTCATTTTTCATGGTAATTATAATATTAAAGTGAATGGCAGTAGAAGAAAACGGTCGAGAGTGATAACTATATTTATACCTTGTTAAAAATACTTTTTGGAAAACACTGATGCACTCGACTTCATTAATCTCATGATTGTTAGTGTAAGTACTACAGTTCAGTCCATATTTATGTCTCATCGGTTGTCGTACACTGTTGACAATTTTTCAATTAAATTTCTTGGAAATTTTCGTCACTTTTGTCATTGAAATTCAAAATTTTGTGGAAAAGCCGATGGAAACTGTGGATTTCAGTTCAATTATTTAATTATTCAGTTCAAATAAATATTTTCTTGAATGTTATTAATTGAAGACAACGTAATTTGATGCTGAATATTCATGCTTTCATTGAAAATTCAAGTTAGTTAAAAATCTCTCGTCTTTCGAAAATTCTGTTAAATCTGTTGAACATTTTATTATGAAAATATTCAATAGAATTTTTTTTACACAAAAGATCATCAGATTCTGATTTTACATGAATTTTTCATGATTTTTCATGATTCTATATCTGATTTTCTGAATTTATGGATTATTTTGAGGAACGCAGTTATCTAATGTAACTACAGCCAACGAAATGCTGATTATTCTCAAACTGTAACAATTTTTTTCACAACGTTTTGTAACTAACCCAGTGAAAGGAAAAAATTTCTAAAAAAAAAGATTTAAAAGATTCAAAAATCCGTAATTTCCACCGCCGTTAAATCAAAAATTAGTAATTTCATTGAATTTTCAGTGAAATCTGAAATTTCCGGAATGTCAATTGTCCATGAAATATAAATTTATTCCTGTGTATCAATGCGTATGGAATCGTTACAATGATAATCAGGGATTCGCAATCAGTTATGGAGTAGCGAGCGTCAATTTGTGGGCCGAACGGTACTTTTCGCTCGACTTGTAACCGCGGCCCCATATGTCATACGGGTTCCTCTCTCTTGAAGTTAATATTCTGGGAAGCGCAGAAGTCCCGAGTGAAGGGGATGCAGTTGAAGAGCTTGCAGACTTCGCACTCGTAGACTGGAATGTTATAGAAGAGGGTTATTAACAGGGCGAAGAGACTGAGGATTACGACCAGGCAGACCCAGATGAGAATGACTTTTCTTCGGCGGTCGTAGTGGCCGAAGGTGATGAAGGGCATGAGGGCGTATGCCGCCAGGAAACCGAAGATGAAGCCGAAGAGGTGGGCGTAATTGTCCACCCAGGGGAGAATTCCCAGGATCAGCAGGCCCACCAGGATCATTATGAGCTTTGAGAGGGCTCTTCGCGGGTGCTTTAACATTGGCCAGCTGTTCAACACCTCGACGACGAGGGTCGCCAGGAGGGCGAAATGGGCACCTGCTGGTCCCACCTGGGAAATCAGAGATTGCATTTTAAATAGTTTATAAATACTTGAAGTGATGCAATGGATTTGGAATTTTTAATAATTCTTTCACTATGCTTTTTCTTTAAAATTGAAAGTTTTGTCAAAATCATGAAGATTTGGATATTTTTGAATAATTTGTTCAATTAAGGCCCGGGTGGATTATCTGTCGGACTTATTTCTTAATTTTTATTAAAAATGTTGTTTGAAAATGTTCATTTTTTTTCTTGTTTTTTTCATTGTACAATCATAATTTTTAGGGACTCCTGCGTGATGTAAAATCCAATGGAAATTGCGATATATTTTACATTACGAAGATGGAAAAACAATCGAGATAACGTTCGAAATATGGTCCACCCGGGCCTTAAAATATTTTATATGTACTTGGGGTGATGCAATGAATGTGGCAATTTTTAATAATTTTTTCTACTATGATTTCTTCAAAATTGAAAGTTTTGTAAAAGTCATGAAGATTTGGATATTTTTGAATAATTTGTCGATTAATTTAAACTAATTTTGTTTTTTATCGTTATTTTACATCGCTTCGACCCGGTTAGGGTATACTGCGATGATGATCAAGATTTTAAGTGGTTAGATCGCACCATTCTACCCCGCCGGGATTTGAACTCGGAACCTTTCGCATATGAGGCAACTAACTTACCCACTGCGCCAAGCCACCGGGCATTTTAAATTAATTGTGTAAAAAAAAAGAGTAGCTGAGGTGACGTGAATGTCCCATATACATTACCTCAGCCCTATACGGGATGAATATGGCACTGGCAAGATTTCCAGCAAGAGCTCCAGTAAAATAAATCAGGGCTATCCTCAGAGATCCCGTCAACTTCTCGAGATCCCTCATCAGGTAGTATTGCACGAGGAGTGTGATTACCAAGTGAAAAATTCTGCAAGAATTGTGAAATGCTTGAGATAAGACTTTTCGAAAGAATTAATTCAACTTCAAAAAAAGAAAAAACTTGAATGAAAGCTCCAAAAAAATTTTAAATTCATTTTTGAATCTTAAAATTACGTTTAAATTTAAATTTAAATTAATTGAAATCGTAAGATTTCAACAATCCTAAATTAAGATCATGACTCAATGATTGATATCAAAAACCCTCTCGTTTCGATGATGGATCGAAACGACAGGAATGATCGAAATGATATTGAAGGGAGAATTTCCCCGGATCATTTTTATCTGAATATTCCAGTTATCCATCAGGACAAGCAAATGGCTCCACCACTCACCCGTAATCGGAAATATGCACTCACCCGGCATGAAGAAAGGTCGTAGTGAACAGGCGATAAAACTGATCCGGCCACTCAGGATGTAAAAAAGGAATCATCCCACACACGTCATGGAGACACTCGACTTGCGAGCATAATGAGGCTTCCTCGTGGAAATAACCATGAACAAAGTCACAATACTCTTTTGTTGTAATTCTGCACATCCCGTGAATACCAATACAGCAGGGATGTCCAATCACTTCGCACACCATGTGCTCAGCCATTTTGTCTTTGTAACGTCCCACTGGGAAATTGCTATTGCTTGGGGGATGCCCATTGTTACTTCTGAAATCCGATCTACATTATTGATGATGGAGGGAACTTTTGACGATAATTAACAGACGACTGCACTGAAATTTCAAAATTTAACACTTGAGTTTTCATGAAAAAAATTAGCAAAAATTGAGTTTTGATCTTTTTTACTAATGGGATCTTTGAAAATATCATCAATCTATCGAATTGAATTTTGGTTTACACATAAAGAATATATGCCTGAATGTCATTAAATGAAACTTTTTGAAAACCTTAATTTTTCGCGTTTTTGGAATTTTTTCTCGAAATTTCGACATGTGAAAAATCTGAAAAATAGTTCAATTAAAAGTACATACTTTATTATGAATTTCTTCTGATTTTAAAAATCGTTTTTCGAGGAAAAATGGCAGATTGGGTACCAGATAGTGACGAGGAAGTGAATTCACCTGATATTTTCGCTGATACAAGTGATGATGAATTGATATCGAGTGTAACAGCACATGTTCACGAGGCATTTTTGCAACAAGAGTAAATGTGAATAATCAAAACTATGAGAAAATTAATTTTAATCAATTGATGTTTTAATTTTTTATGGATTCCCTTTCCATCATTTTCCGTTTTATAAATTTCCAATTTTTTTTTCCCTTTCAATATTTGGTTTCTGACAGTGGGGGGGGAGGCTTCGCCCCCCAC